TTTAAGGCATGAAGGTGGAATATTACAGATCAGCTAAATTATCTATCTTAGAGGATCTTACAAATTGATGTAGGATGCAGTCACACATATATATATATATATATTTTATTGATCAAGTGTATTAATAAAAAGGTTAGTCCCTCCTTGTAAATGGATCTTGTTATACCTATTTTGTTTATATTTCGTTTGTATATATACCATTATTCCATATTTTATTTTACATTAGCACTTTTCATTTGTTTACCTTCAACTTTATTGTATTTCTTTTTAGTGAAAGTGTAGGTTTCTCTGTAAACTAGCACTTATTTCTTAGTGAATATTGTATCTGTCGATTTATCTGTTCATATTTAACAAGGCTCTTCTAACTGTCCATACAGTAAGGTTTCAAAGCATTTAGTAGTTTAAGAGAAAAGGTTTATGACAAAAAGTCAATCATAATCAAAGAATGTCTCTGTCTCCATTCAAGAGGAAATTTTACACAAATAAATCATATTTAGATACGCTTGCCTGTATTTGCATTCCGTAATTGTTATGCCCTGTGTTGTCTTAATTTCGATTTGATAGCCAGATAAAGAGCTCAGCAGAACTTTTAATTACAAAATAAAAATATAGATAGTTTTACTTTATATCAGCACTAACAAGATTTAGTTGTATTTGTTTTAAATATCATCTTTACTATAGATTGTGTTACTGCTTTATATGTGCTTTTTAGGTCATTTTTGTATTACTATAGTTCTGCCATTGACTTGTGAATTTAAAGAGGTCTTTTTATTTAAAAGCACATGTATTTTCTTTAGGTTACTTCTTTTCTATGCAGTTGAAATGAAAATGCTTGAAGCCAATTATGTCAAAGGATTTCGATAAAGACGGAAACAAATTGGTATTGGCTATTTATTTTGATTTTTTTCAAATAATTATTTTTAACATTGATCGAACAAAATGCTGTTTTTAGTGAGTATTTGTTGGTTATTGACTTGATAATACGTAGGCACGTAACTCATGTTGGCCAATATATTGCTTATAAGTGTGGGCACTTGACTCATATTGACCTGTCTATTGTCTACTAATGTGGGCACTAAACTCACATTGGCCTGTCTGTTGTCTATTAGTGTTGTCACATTTACTCATATTGACCTGTCTATTGTCTATTAATGTGGGCACTAAACTCATATTGGCCTGTCTGTTGTCTATTAGTGTGGGCACTAAACTCACATTGGCCTGTCTATTGTCTATAAGTGTGGGCACTAAACTCATATTGGCCTGTCTATTGTCTATTAGTGTGGGCACTAAACTCATATTGACCTGTCTGTTGTCTATTAGTGTGGGCACTAAACTCACATTGGCCTGTCTATTGTCTATTAATGTGGGCACTTACTCCTATTGACCTGTCTATTGCTTATTTTTGGGGCACTTAACTCATATTGGCCTGTCTATTGGGTATATGTGTGGGCACTAAATGCATATTGGCCTGTCTAGTGCCTATCAGTGTGCGCACTAAACTCACTATGGCCTGTCTTTTGCCTATTAGTATGCGCTCCAAACTCATAATGGCTTGTCTTTTGTCTATGAGTGTGTGCTCTTAATTCATAATGGCATGTCTATTGCATATTAGTGTAGGCACTAAACTCACAATGGCTTGTCTTTTGTCTATAAGTGTGTGTTATAAACTCATAATGGCCTGTCTATTGTCTATTAGTGTGGGCGCTAAACTCATATTGACCTGTATATTGTTTATTAGTGTGGGCACTCAACTGATATTGGCCTGTCTATTGCCTATTAATGTGGGCACTTAACTCGTAATGGCCTGTCTATTGTCTATAAGTGTGCGCTCTAAACTGATATTGGCCTGTCTATTGATCATTAGTGTGGGCACTAAACTCATATTGGTCTATCTATTGCTTATAGTTGTGGGCACTAAACTCATATTAGCCTGTCTGTTGTCAATACGTGTGCGCTCTAATTTCTTATGGCCGATCTATTGCGAACTAAACTCGTATTGGTCCGTCTATTGAGTATAAGTGTGGGCACTAAACTCATTTTGGCCTGTCTATCAATTATTAATGTGCGCGATAAACTCATATTAGCCTGTCTATTGTCTATTTGTGTGGGCACTCAACTCATATTGCCCTGTCTGTTGCCTATTAATATGGGCACTTCACTCATATTGGCCTATCTTTTGGCCATTAGTGCGCGCTCTAAACTCATAATGGCCTGTTTATTGCCCATTAGTGTGCGCTCTAAACTCATAATGGCCTTACTATTACCTATAAGTGTGCGCTCAAACCTCATGACGGCCTGTCTATTGTCTTTAAGTGTGCGCTCTAAACTCATATTGGCCTGTCTAGTGTCTATTAGTGTGCGCTCTACACTCATAATGGCCTGTCTATTGCCCATAAGTGTTCGCTCTACACTCACAATGGTCTATCTATTGCCCATAAGTATTCGCTCTAAACTCATAACGGCCTGTATATTGCCTGTTAGTGTGCTCTCTAAACTCATACTGCCCTGTGAGTTGCATATAAATATGGGCACTTGACTGATATTGGCCTGTCTATTGCCTTTAAGTGTGGGCGCTAAATTCATATAGGCCTGTCTGTTGTTTATGAGTGTGGGCACTAAACTCACATTGGCCTGTCTGTTGTTTATGAGTGTGGGCACTAAACTCATATTTGCATGCTATTGCCTATTAATGTGGACACTAAACTCAAATTGCCCTGTCTATTGCCTATTTGTGTTGGCTTTCAACTGATATTGACCTGTCTATTGCCTATAAGTGTGGGCACTCAACTCATATTTCCCTGTCTATTGCCTATTAGTTTGAGCACTAAACTCATATTTGCCTGTCTATTGTCAATTAGTGGTGTGGGCACTTAACTCATATTGGCCTGTCTGTTGTTTATTAGTATGGACACTTTCTCCATAATGGCCTGTCTATTGCCTATTAATTTGGACACTACATTCAAATTGGCCTGTATATTGTTTATTAGTGTGGGCACTCAACTGATATTGAACTGTCTATTGCCTATGAATGTGGGCACTTAACTCATATTGGCCTGTCTATTGCCTATTTGTAGTGGTACTCAACTCATATTGGCCTGTCTATTGATTGCCTATTTGTAGTGGTACTCACCTCATTTTGGCCTGTCTATTATCTATAAGTGTGCGCTCTAAACTGATATTTGCCTGTCTATTGCTTATTAGTGTTGGCACTAAACTCATATTTATATTGGCCTGTCTATTGCCTATTAATGTGGGCACTTAACTCATATTGGTTTGTCTATTGCCTATTTGTATGAGTACTCAACTTATTTTGGCTTGTCTATTGTCTATTAGTGTAGGCACTCAACTCATATGGGCCTCTCTTTTGCCTATAAGTGTGCGCGCTAAACTCATATTGGGCTGTCTGTTGTTAATAAGTGTGGGCACGAAACTCATTTTGTGCTGCCTATTAGTATAGAAAATATGGTAAAAGAGCAATCTGATGGCGATCAAAAGTGCATAATTTCTAATCTTTTTATGCAAATCTATTTTGATGAATAAACGATGTTGGGTATACGTCGACGTGACATCAACCCAACAAACAGAGAGCCAAAAGAAATTAAGTACTTGTAAATCTTTTAACTTTTTTACTTCTTCCAATTTCAAACTTTGTGTTTACGGCCAATAAGAATGTAAGAAAAGTAACTCAACTTATCATGAAACCTATCAGACTGGGACTTACTTTTAACCACAAAAATTACCTTCAAACTTTTCTTTCACTATACAATACAGGCTTACAAATAAATGTACTCTATTTCCTTGGTAAATTTAGTAGTTATTTTTCAAATCCCGGTTCACTTATTTCTTTTAAACAATGACATTGACCAAAGGAATAACCCGTATTGAGGTAGAACAGGTGTGTAAGTCATCTCTTTGTGATTGATTTGATTTTTGGTGTTTTAACGCCACTTTTAAGCACCGCTTTTGAGCTATTTCGTGGCGGCCAGTTTTTATTGGTGGAGGAAGCCGGAGTGCCCGGAGAAAACCACCGACCTTCGATAGGAAAACTGACAATCCTAGTCAATTAAGATTGGAGTCGAGTGCACCCGCACGAGCGGGGTTCGAACTCACAACCTTAGTGTTGACTGGCTAGTGATTACAGTAGTAACTACTTAGACCACTCGGCCACCGAGGCCCCTTCATCTCTTTGTGTAATAATTGTTTAAAATGTTATAACAAATTGGAAGGCTCCACATTCTTTTAGTGGTTACATCAACCTTTTTTATATTTACTTTTTGATGTCTGTTGTTTCATGTTGGCGTTTAAACAATGGCGATTTTTTTCGATATCAAAGAATAAGAAAGCTGAACGTATGAATAAATGTGTTAAGACAGAGAAAACGATATACTATCATTGTCAGTAAAACAAAAGTAATGCTCAGATGCGGATTCAGAATTTTGAAGAGGGGGAGTGAAAGCTAGGCAACGTTAGGAGTGGGACATGTAAAAAGTCTATACATTTACCATATATGTAACCCCACCCAACCCCCATAAATTCGCATCTGAAGCTTAACAAACTTCACATTTCTCCGAGTATCTCAAGCGTACGTATAATCTTTATATTTTCTGATAATTTACGTATATTGTATATGTATGAACGATGGGCTTTTAAAATACATCTCGAAGTTCGGTCATGCGATGGGGTTTAGCCCTACTATTTACCCCTAACTAGTGTCCCTGTAATCATAAATGTACAGATAACGAAACACTTTCTATATATCATATGTATTTGTAAAACAACACGGCTACAACTTTGCTCTCTGAACAAACAAACATGCAAATGTTGTTACATATAACATAAACTAGTTCGTTTAACAGTCTCATAAGATAATTACATATTTTAAAAACAACCTTTTTTTTAAAGTCCTATCTTGTATTTTTAGCACATTTTATTGTATATGAATATACAACTGTTTAATGGCAGTTTAAATTCTCTCACGCTCTATATACAGCACTTCCTTATTTTTGTTTTCAACGACACGGATATATATAGAACATTAAATTCCGCCCATCCACAGGAATAACCGTTCACGATAGTGTCTTCCTTGTGTAATAATATTAGGTGAGTAATAAATAGGGTTTTAAGTTATATAAATGCACATACAAGCATTACTTTTGACGAACGCTAAGGTAAGTCTGGGGTACTAACATACAATTCAATTGTACAAACCATATCTTACATTTATTTCGTATTTGGTACACATGCTATGAATTTAAAATATGTTAAAATTCGAATTGCACCATTGAAAATTGCATCATTGTAAATAAATGATAAATTTGGAAACTTTATTTTATTTGAACGTAAACTTTCAAATCTAGGGCTTCGTAAATATATTTTTGATAAACTATATGATAGGTACATTTGTTTAGACCTTGAACTTAAATCGTCGATTGCGTCAATTAACTGAATTTTCATTTTGTTTCAGAGTAATCTGCGTTTAAAAACAGTTTTTGATTTTATGTGAGTTTCTGTTTAATTCAGAGTAATCATTTGAAACAGCAACGCCTGACAAAAGTTAATGGCAATGAATTATCGGATAACGACTAGAGGTAGAAAAGACAAGAAAGAAGTACCGTATAAAAGGACAGATACGGTATGGAATTTTATAGTTATTTTTTTTTCTTCATTGCAATGGTCACTTACTTATATGGTAGACTCTGAAAAAGTCTTACATTTCAATATCCAGTATAATGTATAATTTGGCATTGTTTTTTTTTAATATTACATAATGTGATTAGGATCCACCAGAGACCAAATGACGTGGATGTATGCAACTACAGCTCATCGTACGATCTTCACCAATTGACAAAACCCATGCCATACCTATGTTCTTCCGAGAAAAGCATGACATTATGTAATGCTAAATCATAAGAAAACAATATCGACAGGATTTAGGATCTTAAGATAAGTATGCATAACTGTATTAATATATATATATATATATACGGCAATTATAATCAGACTTTATTATATAATCAGACTTTATTGTTACATAATATTTTTTCCTATTGTAATGCATCATTTTTAAACATATTTTTTATTCTTCATTTCTGTTAGACAGTTGCAACATTTTTTAATTTAAGAACGTTTTTTTTTCTCATTTAGTTCCCTCCAGTTTCCGATAACCTAGAATGTCTGAAAGATGGAAGACAAACACATTCAGTATCAGCGGTAAGTGTTCGTAACTTTACGATTTAAAACAAATGTCTATATAAAAAACGGAGATTCGGTATGATTGCCGATAAAACAAGTATACACCAAAACGAATTAAAAACTAAATAGTTGTAAGCAATTATAGGTAAGGGAGCTACCATTTGATTTTTAGGGGGTGGGTGGAGGTAAGGCTTTGAAGAAATTTGAAAAAAGGCAGGACAGGAGTTTTGAGTAAAAAAAAAAAAAAAAACAGGATGAGCAACTTTGCTAAAAAAATGAGTTGGATGACAATTTATGTAAAAAAAAGTCAGGATAAACTAATAAAAAAAGGCAGGACCGAATGGATTGAAAAATAAAAATGCAGGACAGAGATTACAACTAAAAAAAAAGCAGGACAGAATTTTTCATCCTAGCCCTCCATAAAAATCAATTAGTAGCTCCCTAAGCGTACGGCCTTCAACAATCAGCAAAACCCATACCGAAAACTAAGTTATAAACGTCCCCAAAATATGAAACAATTCAAAAGACAAAACCAACGGCCTGATTTATACTAAAACAACAAACCAAACGAAAAATAAAAAGGCAGACAACAACTAACGACCACTATTGAATCACAGAAATAAAATGGCAGACAACAACTAACGACAACCACTGAATCACAGAAATAAAACGGCAGACAACAACTTACGACAACCACTGAATCACAGAAACAAAAAGGCAGACAACAACTAACGACAACCACTGAATCACAGAAATAAAACGGCAGACAACAACTTACGACAACCACTGAATCACAGAAACAAAAAGGCAGACAACAACTAACGACAACCACTGAATCACAGAAATAAAACGGCAGACAACAACTTACGACAACCACTGAATCACAGAAATAAAACGGCAGACAACAACTAACGACAACCACTGAATAACAGACTTCTTACTTGGGATATACACATAAAAAAATGTGGCGGTACAACATAATTTTTTTTATTAAGTACACAAAAAACCAACAAAAAGACAACAATCACAAGGTACAAATCTAAGAGTACTCAAGTTACTTAAATTAATAGTCTTGGAAAATAATGGCCTACTGTAATGCATGAATTTGGGTATCGCCCAAAAGTGTTCATGGTAGTTTAGTCATTCATATTTAGTCATGTTTTAATTTATCAAAATCAAAATCAATGTACGTAGAGATGAAATTTTATTCGGTCATGTCACAAACGAAGAAAGGACTGGATTGTGGTTACGACAACTTAAACATCTCCGTGGTCATCTGTGACACAAATGTTCCATAACCTAATCTGGCGTTCGTAAAACTTTCGAAAGGATGACTATGCCACCGGTTAACCTTTAAGTTGGTTCAAAAACTTTCTTGTATTTTAAGATGTTACTTCACAATGCAGTAAGGATATAAATTATCTTTCTTTTGAAAATAGAATAAAGATTTATTTCAGTTGTTATTTTTTATTGATAAACGTTCCTTGGTTTTAGTTACAGATCCTTTCTATGGTGAAATACCCTTAATATGGTGGTATACCCATTGCTATGGTGAAATGCCCTTACTATGGTGAAAGACCCTTACTATGGTGAAATATCCTTACTATGGTGAAATACCCTTAATATGGTGAAATATCCTTACAATGATGAACACAACCCTTACTATGGTGAAATACCCTTACTATGGTGATATACCCTTACTATGGTGAAAGACCCTTATTATGGTGAAAGATATTAATGGTGATATACCCTTACTTTTGTGAAATATGATTAATATTGTATAAGACCCTAAACATATTGAAATGCCCTAAATATATGAGAAAGACCCTTAGTATGTTGAAAGAATTTAATTTGGTGAACGAGCCTTAATATGGTATACAACCAATTTCATCTGGAACAATAACATAATATTACATTCTGGTTCTTGTTCATTCCTTTACAAAAAAAAATATAAAATTTTTTTTTACAGACGACCACTTCTGAGATTTCCCTTGAGGAATTTGACTTCTTTAGTAAAGACAGTTTGTTTGACACATCCGATAGTGAGGGTGAAGTAAGCACATCTATAGACTCTCTATTAGAGACATCAGATATCGAATCATCAAAGGATACTGTATGTATTTAGTTACATTTCTTTTTTTTTCATATCACGTTTTTTTCCAATTTTACAATGTTTGTTTAAAATGCTAACTTCTCGAAACAGAACTGGTGTATTTTGATTATTGCTAGAACATGATTTTTACAGAGGATGACCTTCAGGTCATTCCGATGTATTGCTATCGCCTAAATTTCCATTATGCAAATTAGTTTTGGGATTTCAACCGATCTATAAAAATTATAGATCCGCGGTCATTACAAGGGAAAAAAGTGCATTTTTATACCTGCGATTCCGTTTTCCGTTCGTACGATGTTTCATCAAAAAATGGAATCATTTCAGTTGTTGATTTAGTACTGAAAATTTGACTGAATTATCTCTTTTTAAATACGGTTTTATATGTTTAATTGGTGTTTAAGAAAGAGGTCAGGTGCTCATGTTCATTCATAAAATTATCGTTCATTCATTCATGAATTTATCGTAAAATCAAAATCACTACACAGGTCACACAGGTTGTATACGTAATGTCAAATGATTACCTGTAATCTAAAAATAAACAAACTTAACTGACTCCCCTTACTATAGTGTGTGATAACATTTTGTGAGGAAATTCGATGTTTGCTATACCACTGTTCATTACAACGCACTTTATGACGATACCACTTTATCAATATGAATGAAATTTTTTGCAGTGTTTTAAGAAATAATTTTACTTTAAAATCGCGTATCATTTGTGAACTATTAAATGTTTTACAAGGACGAATTTTCTGTATAAAGTCAATAATTGTGTGAACTTTTGAAGCCCAAACTTTTTATAGCCTTAAATACGCTAATGAAAGATCCGAAAACTATACCCATACAGAACGACATGTTTTTGAAATTGTAGCAAAACTTTTGGTTGACAAATTTTGATTCGTTATTGCATAAATATTAACTTGAAATATCTGTCATTTTCTCCCTACCAAGTTTACCCCTATTACTCATTATGATGTGGACTGGACATTGTTATTGAATCTTATGCAATTTGATTGGATTAAGTTATTATTAGATTACCTTCAAACTATTCATGCTTTTTCGTACGAGTATATCGATTAAATCAGAGCGTGCATGAATGTGTACAGTAAATTAAATGACCTGCAAACTGGACACTGGACCAGTCCATATTACGTTTTATCAATGAATAGATTTTTTTTTTGTATTTTCCAAATTACAGGGCCCATAAAGGGCATAAAATCAGATACAATTGATTTACATAATTAGTAACAACAACAATAATAGCGGCATATGAATGAAACTTAAGGTATGAAAGGTAACAATTGCCACTTTTTATCTTTTCACATAATTTTCCACATACACATTAGATAAATTATTTTTGATAGCCTATTGCGGAGAAAAAAGAGAAAGTTTACTGTATTAACGTTCTATTCCATTAAATACGCCATTTTTCGCAGAAAAACATTTTATGCACGGCTACGCCAGGTAAAATTGTTGTTTATCCTAACAAAGAAATACAATTTTCAGTTTCATTAGAATATTATAATAATAATAAATCCCAAATTTATGTAGTCATTAGAAGTCCTTATATGTCCGATCTGCCTATTTTTGGACATCAAAAGACAATACGATCGTTTTAAGGTCAATTTCGTCTACCTCACACAATCTTGTTAGGCACTATAATGAAATGGACCTGAAATTTATTTCACATGTTTCCTGAAAATTGATAAATATCAAAGCAACATAGAGCTGTTTGTTCTAGTTCGTATAATGATAATTTAATGTCATGTTTGTTTGTGATGACCCCCCTTTTCGGGATTGCATCAGAATTATAGTTATCTCGTATCGCATGAGGATGACACATATCAACTGAGCAATTATGTTTGGGACTTAGTTTTAAGAAATGATGTCAAAGTAACATTATGAAAATATTTTTAGTAAGCTGAAATATATATTTATTTTTTACATGTTTATGTCTTGTAAGATATTTTATTTCTTCCCCGTTTTTCAACATTTGCGTCTGGAAAGTTGAAATGTTTTAACTGAATGGTTAATTTAAATTAATTATGAAAATTGTTAAAATTAAATCAATAAAGGAAATTATTGCCCAGTTACAAACACTACCAGGGGACAATCCATATTGATTTTTTTTTTAGTTATATGTTTCAGCACATGTATAATTAACCCCAACTTTAGCCTGGTAAACTTGTTGTCTCCTTGTGAAATATAAAACATATTTAAAATGATTTCCTGCTAAAGTCTTTTATTGATATAAAGTTAAAACCGTCTTGCTTCTCACTAGTCAACACTCCTGTCCTGTCAGGTTTAATTCTTATATATATGGATGAAAAATAAAAGTCCACAAAGCATTAACATGGCAGCAATTGCTTTTACAGCCTTTAAGGCTTTGATTTTTTTTACAGAAGAGTGTCCACCATGCACTTGCACTGCACTATAATAATAGTAGAATAGAATGATATACAAATAGATGAAAATTATATATACATGCAACCGTAATATTAATATAATATATAACAACAAACCAGTGTATTCTCTGGAACTATTATTATATTAGTATAATAGTCTAAGGTATACTGATTTGTATCACTACAATATAATAGTTATTACGGTGAGGTTGAATTTCCTGTCATTTATTCATCATCCAAGCAGGAACTTGTATCAGAAAAACAAATCTCTGTAAATTAACCTCAGTTTCAGGTATAGAGATGTGATCTGTTTCTGTGACATGTGCTTTTGACCATACACAAGAACCTGCGGTCATCCGATGTTCAGTACTTCAGTACTTTGATTACTTTTCTACACATGCTTAAGGCGGTTTTATTGTAACGAATAAAAGCTTTGACGTATCAATCACGATAAAAAACAGGAACGAAAGTACGATTAATATATTCCTTTGATATTTCCAAACGATATTAGTTTTATTTGCATTCACAGCATATTTTTATTTAATGTCTTAGAACAAACTACCTGATTTTTTTACTAGAAGGGTAAACTTTTTGACCTTCACCTTTTACACGACCTTCCTGTAGTTAAAACAAATGAAAATATCATTATACGCGCAATTATAGATAACGTTTCAGGCAATAATATAGCAGAAAATGATATAAAACTACAGGGTCGCTCGACAAATGATGCAGTTTTGTTTATTGACCGGTACAAGCGCAAAATGTTATAAACGCTAAAATAACTGCATGTACATATGATATTTTCTTTTCTATGTCAAGAGCTGTTTTTATTCAGGAATATCAGTTTGATTTTGATTATTTATTTATCAAGGATCCCAAACCCAACCAAAACAGGATATAAAAAGACAAATACTTATGTCCATTTAGGTAGCTATATGCACATTAAGCAATCTATAAATTGATGACCTGTTATATACTTTAGGCATTGTGAAATCTATAGAGTAAAACATGTTTATTTTATTGTAGAATGAAGAAACACGAAAACCAGGAGATGGAAATATTGATGACTTAGAAAGAAGAAAAGCTGAAAGAAATGTCACACCAATAGAACATGATGATCGTCCATTAACGCATGAAGTATGTATTGATATGAGAAATGTCACACCAATAGATCATACTGATAATTCCTTAATGCATAATGTAGATACATTTTAATAATGACTTTACAGAACTAAGGAAATATTGAACAAATAAATGTTCCAATTAAGTGGTCTGTTTTCAAAAATAAACTCATTGACACCAATTTCTAGTCAAGTCTAAAACATGTAAGCGATATTGGGGTTTGAAGACACGGGCATATTATTAGTTACGTAGCTACGGGCTCAGTAAATTCCATATGGAGTTTGAAAACCCCAAATGGAATTTACTGACCCCGTATATATCGTATTAGGTCACTAGCACACTATGTAACGAACTTTTCTTGCCGACTATCTTAACATGTGATTGTCCTATCAAAGTGATCACATCTAAACACGCCCCATGACCTAAATTTGAATATAAACGGTCTCCACCTGTTCGCTTTTAACCAATAATATTTCTAGAAATGTATAGGAGGTAAGATACGTGCAAATACACAAACACGTGTTATAACTTTCTCTTAATTATTGACCTCACAGAGAGGGAAAATGTTTAATCAAAGAGAGAAATATACTCAGTCAGTTTGAATTTTAGCGTTGTTCGTGAATGAAAACGATTTCGCTATTTCATTGCAGACTGAAATACTTGGCGAACAAGATGAAATGGATAGTAGTCACACATCCATTAAAGGAAATAAAACACATACACAGTTTGAAAAAGATGTAAAAACCGAAATAGAAAGAAAAAAAGATGATCCAATGACATATGGAAATATAACATACAAGTATGAGACATGTAGTTTTAATGCTGATGGTGATTTTGAAACAGAAGACTGTCCACTTATTGATATTGACGTAAGAATAAACATAAGTACTGATGTGACTAACTAGAAATAACCCCAGTTAATTTATATATATAGATATATAGACTTCAGGATGCGAGAAAGGGACCAAACTATATTTCTCTCATTTTTCATCTAAAATATTATATATTATATGTTATATTAACTTTATAGGCCGTTTAAATCAATAAAATTTGTTTATACTTAAGTAAAGCCCTTTTTCTTCTGTCAAAATATTCGATATACACAAAATTTTGTTTTGCCCTGTCAAACTTTTGTTCTGCTGCTCTGTACGTTAAGGTATCGATAATTCATTTGTAATTATTTGGTGCGAATTTCACCCAACATTTTTGAAGTCGAATGTGTTGATAACGTTTTGACATTAATTTCATAATTTGATATCTAAAGATTTAAATATATTATTTAAACGGATATATTTAACATATGTTAAGATTTTACCAATGTTTAATCAATAACATGAAAATTTAATGAGTGCAGTATAATGTATCTATCAAATTTTGCGACAAAAATACATTCACTTAAGGTTCCACTAAAGTCAAAATATAGGACACTTCATAAACATCTAAACTTTGCCTGTATTTTTCAACCTATAATGAGTAAAGTCCTAAACTATGAGAACATATGTTCATTTAAACATACTTAACATATACACACTGTTTAAATTGTAAATAAACTTGAAATTGTTATGTTGTGGCCAAACCGGTTCTTAGGGTGAACACTAAACTTTCAAAAAAATCTGGAGGCCTGCGAGACGACTTAATTTGTTTAAAATTGGTATGGACGAATACTGTTATATCTAATGCAGGGCAAGCTCATGTTGATTTTTCAGAAAATATATTGATTTTCGAGTTTCAGTTAACTTCATGTATCTAGGTGAACAAATATCGAAGGTACAATACAGAAATTGGACAAATATGCCATTAAAGCATATGTATGTGACAAATCAACATGAGCTTGCCCTGCAATACATGTAACAGTATTCGTCCATACCAATTTTAAGCAAATTAAGTCGTCTCGCAGGCCTTCAGATTTTTTTGAAAATTTAGTGTTCACCCCAAGAACCGGTTTGGCCACAGCATAACAATTTCAAGTTTATTTACAATTTACACAGTGTGTATATGTTAAGTATGTTTAAATGAACATATGTTCTCATAGTTTAGGACTTTCTCATTATAGGTTGAAAAATACAGGCAAAGTTTAGATGTTTATGAAGTGTCCTATATTTTGACTTTAGTGGAACCTTAAATTAAGGCGATAGTAGTTTACCAATTTTCAAATCTCGCAAATCGATCAAATGAGATAAATCACGGTAAGAAGCAAAAACTCAGGGAATCGTATGAACCCAAAGGGAGCGAAACCAGGTGCGTCGAAATGGTAGGCGTCTCCTTTATGCATGCATCACCTGCCATGCAATTCCACACTCAGTCAAAATGCTACAATCGGGAATAAGGCACAATCGGACGCCTATATGGGTATCTAAAAGATCCACAAGACCGCGAAAGCATGACCGTACAGCCTCACTCATATTTATAGTTACTAGATTTACTTTCAATTCTTAATGTCATATCATAAGTAAAAAATGATCATAACATAAACAAATAAAAACATGAAAAATAAAGATATAAAATATTCTAGTCTAAAAATTCTTTGTAGATTTTGCCACCAGATATAGGCGTTAAGAAATCTCCTATAGTTTTCATGTTAACCGACGAGCACAGTGAACCTAGTGGAATGACCTTAGTATCCACTGGTGGCGGCCATGTCGTAGAAATTACTGACAGAACTATCAAATTCTATAAAAAGCTAAATCTTGGGTATGTTATGTTTTACTTTGGTTGCCAAGGAAAAATTTGTCAGTTTTTGTGAAATGGATAAATCGCTTTTGCATTGATTCAATGACAAACGGCCTAACAATGTTGTAGTTTATAGTTTTATTCATTATACTTTTTTTCTTTTTTGTGTGTTACTGAAGGCCTCATGACAAATTGTTAGGAATCGACTACCAAGCAGTAAAATGTTATCCGCATGAGATAGTCCTAGAAATGTTTAAGTATTTGTTGTATCCATCAACAGAAGAATTTATCAGCTTGGTTAGTAAATAACAATAGATGTTAATCTTTGAAATATATAACAATATACTTACATCACATGTATGTTTCAAAAGAATCTTTGAAATATATAACAATATACTTACATCACATGTATGTTTCAAAACAATCTTTGAAATATATAACAATATACTTACATCACATGTATGTTTCAAAAGAATCTTTGAAATATATAACAATACATTTACATCACATGTATGTTTCAAAAGAATCCGTGCTTTTGATTGGCTGACAACAATCGCTAGACATTCTCAAATCATATCTTATTTCTCAATAAAATACAACATTAACAAATGCAGGTGCTTTCCATAACACCGTTACAACATAGCGTAGGAAAACAAAGGAAAAGCTTGATATTATAATATAAAAAGAAGATGTGGTATGATTGCCAATGAGACAACTCTCCATAAGAGACCAAATGACACAGAAATTAACAACTATAGGTCATCGTACGGCCTTCAACAATGAGCAAAGCCCATATCGCATAGTCAGCTATAAAAGGCCCCGAAATGACAAATGTAAAACAATTCAAACGAGAAAACTAACGGCCTAATTTATGTACAAAATAATGAACGTAAAACAAATATGTAACACAGCAACAAACGACAACCACTGAATTACAGGTTCCTGACTTGGGACAGGCACATACAGAATGTGGCGGGGTTAAACTAGTTTGAAGGCGCCAACCCTTCCCCTAATCTGGGACAGTGGTGTAACAGTACAACATAAGAATAAACTATAAAAATCAGTTGAAAAAGGCTTAACTCATCAAAAACACAAAGTGGACGTGGACGGGTACTTGTATATCCCAACAATAAAAAGACACTTAGCACAGATCTGAGAGTGCTGAGAGTGCTCGCAGTTACTGACAGCTAGTTCAAAGCCAATAACAACTAATAAAAAAAATCATGCATCTAAGACTATAAGTATTTTTTATTTCATGGTTGTAGCAAATAACTGCAATTATTAGAATTGAATATTTTCTTTTTAATATTTATAAGCGTCGACGCTGCATACAAAATGTGCTTCATGGAACGCTTTTTAAAACACCCCAATAAAATTACACAAAAAAAATCATTCAATCCTTAGATAAAATTTAGAAGATGGGGCATTCTTGCTAATGAGACAACTATCAACCAAAGGCAATAGGACATGATGTCTAAGCGACTATAGGTCACAGCACGACCTTTAATAAGCAGCAAAACCAATACCGTATAGTACGCTATAAAAGGATCCGGCATGACAAAGAAGGAAACATTCAAATGAGAAAACTAAAGGCCTGATTTTAGCTTTAACAATTAACAAAAACAAATTAAGCTGACAGCAACCAACAACAACAATTTGTTTAGCCCATACACATTGATAACCTTCAATACTGTAATATTAATAAACGGAGAGGTACGTTAATTAGACAGCAATCATACGACAAGCATAAAACTCACAAGACATATAATGTTAAGTATATGTAATATTTTGCGAATTGTAGATATAATTCCTTCAGCAATAGTTCAGTATCTGATAGAGTAAACGGTTAGAAATATATCTTAAGACAAAAATATTAATAATATTAATGATATATTATTAGATTGTTGAAAGACAAGAACAAAACAGAAGTGCAGACGTTTTAGAGATAAAGATCTATGTAAAGGTCATTACACGTGGTGGTATGTACATTTAAGGTTTTATTTATTTAGATTTCTTGCGTTAAAAAGCAGCATTGCATATGCAAACAAACTTTTGGAAATGAATCAAAGTTAAATCAGATCTGAATTTGCAACATTCATTTATAGACAAAACCGGACAACCTATGTTAAAAGGGCCAAAAAGAAGATCGAATTCTACAGGACAATAAACTGAAGGGACAACAAAAACTGACTTAAGCTAACAGAAAACAAAAAAAGCTTTTGACAATACTGAATCTTATCTAAAGCGTGACTAATATAAAGTATTACTACGTCGGATATCAAAACTAACCCTGTATATTCTGAAACCCTAACTGGAAATGATATAAGGTTGTCCAGAAAGATAAGCATATTCTGTATTGAATATCTAGTTTCTTTCAGTACATCAGATCTTTCATTTTTGTAATATTATGGATAATATCTTATGTCATAGCCCTAAAAAAAATCACAAAAAAGTTTCAAATTGCTGTATTTAGCATGATTGGCGTTTGTAAGTTAAGCGTTTCATTTAATTTGCCAACGGAAGGCAACAAAACAAACTGAACAATCAAAGTTACATGCATATATGTATTACTTAGGCATGGACTATAGAATTGATTGATTGAAGTTTGCTTAACATCCAGTGGCAAATATTTGATGCATGTTCAGGACGAGTAACTATAGAACAGTTTAATCTAAAACTTCTGTTATGCGAGCACTAAAATGAATGTGTCAAACAGTTTATTGTGTTTCTATTACGAAAGATAATTTACAACCTGCAATAAATCATCAATGTATTAATATAATCTTTTTTTTTGTACTTGTGTTATTTTTAGGTGATTCTACAGAGAATGCAACGGCAACTACAAGCTCCAACACAAGTACTATTAGAATAGTTAATGTAAAATGGAAACATCCAACTGAATGCTATATTCGTCACTACCCTCAATCAAATAAATATATTACAGTGGATAATTCGGGGATGTTAAACATATCAACGTTACGAACCGAGAATGGAAACAAAAGTAAGTTGTATAGTCACACGTGTTCCTTGAACGTCATACTTGACTGGTACATAGAAAATTATCACCTAGACCTTCTCTTTTTGGCTGTTAACAAACACGAGTAGCCCTTTAAATGCTATGATTGTCACTTTAGAGGTTAGAAAACCCCCCTTTCCACAAACACACACACACACACACACATTTAAAAAAGTATAAGTGTGCATGATGGACGCCTACACTGTGTACCATCATCTAGAAGAAAATTTCATAATATAAGCGTTTCTTTGTCCGCGTGAACGAAAGAAATCATTCCCTTGCTTGCATTATAAATTTATTTTTCGTTGAAATCTTAAGCTATTCACCATGATATCTACCAGAAACCGAAAATGATATCTTAGAGTAACCTTAGAAAATGATATCTTAGAGTAACCTTAGAAAATGACATCTTAGAGTTACCTTAGAAAATGATAACTTAGAGTAACCTTAGAAAATGATATCTTAGAGTAACCTTAGAACATGATATCTTAGAGTAACCTTAGAAAATGATATCTTAGAGTAACCTTAGAAAATGATATCTTAGAGTAACCTTAGAACATGATATCTTAGAGTAACCTTAGAAAATGATATCTTAGAGTAACCTTAGAACATGACAATAACACTTACTAAATTTACTGCATCCGAAGCGTTTTTCTAGATTTACCTTAATGTTATCCACAATATTTCACATCGTAACTTATCCAATTGTACTATTGATTTATCAGTAATATACAGCAAGTACATCTATGCTATAGTAGGGAGATAATTTTTACTTGGTATAAGAGAAGTGGGAACATGTTAATAAGACAGCAACCTAACGACACAAATAACCAAAAGTAATCTTTTATTTTAGACCTCATCCGATATAACATATGCTCTGGCTTATGTAGAAAAGAAGAAAACAGAAAGCTGAAAAATCCACATAGCGTTTTCATTGGTGTCTTTCAGATTATTGACTCCAAAAAATTCATAATGGCAGCAAAAGCAACAAAGCTTATTCTAGTTGTGAGTAAAATTGTATATATCATCTGAAAATGTATTGATATTACAAGTGTGTCGAATCAATTATTTATATTGATACAATTCACATAAACGAGAATTTTAGATAGACAAAAATGTGAAATTATCAATGAAAAATTATTAATCGAAAACAAACATACAAAATTTTAGCGAAATCGACAAAAAACAATAAAAAAAACCATACGTTTATCTTTACACGAATTTAGATGAAAATTTTGTCAGTTTATGCTTTACTTTACCGTCAGTGTAACAACAGTATATCAAGTGATACCTTTATTAATATTCTTCTCTATTTTTTTTATACATGCATGCTGATGATTTTTACTGCAAGCAGATTTTTATTGACTTTACTTTATTTCTTTTTTCTGACTATATTTGAATATATTTTATTCACACTAGTAAAGAGATTTTGAACTGAATCATTCTTTAAAATAATGAACATACATATTATTAAATAAATCATGCTTATGATTTAGTCAATTTATCAGACATTTCCACAGATTTATATTCAATCCTGTTCAAGACGATAAGGGTACGCTCAATTATTATGAAAGTAGCGGAACAGTTCTAGATTGAGTGCAAACAGAATGTCTGAACAGTTCTAGATTGAGTGCAAGCTGAATGTCTGAACAGTTCTAGATTGAGTGCAAGCAGAATGTCTGAACAGTTCTAGATTGAGTGCAAGCTGAATGTCTGAACAGTTCTAGATTGAGTGCAAGCCGAATGTCTAAACAGTTCTAGATTGAGTACAAGCAGAACGTCTGAACAGTTCTAGATTGAGTGCAAACAGAACGTCTGAACAGTTCTAGATTGAGTGCAAGCTGAATGTCTGAAAAGTTCTAGATTGAGTGGAAGCAGAATGTCTGAACAGTTCTAGATTGAGTGCAAGCTGAATGTCTGAACAGTTCTAGATTGAGTGCAAGCAGAATGTCTGAACAGTTCTAGATTGAGTGCAAGCTGAATGTCTGAACAGTTCTAGATTGAGTGCAAGCCGAATGTCTAAACAGTTCTATATTGAGTACAAGCAGAACGTCTGAACATTTCTAGATTGAGTGCAAGCAGAATGTCTTAACAGTTCTAGATTGAGTGCAAGCAGAATGTCTGAACAGTTCTAGATTGAGTGCAAGCAGAATGTCTGAAAAGTTCTATATTGAGTGCAAGCAGAATGTCTGAAAAGTTCTGAATTTTAAAGCAAGCAAGGATAAAAAAGAGACCGAAAATATCAAAGAGACAATTAGGGTCCAGCTGAAGCCCGCCTCCGGGTGCGGCATTTTCTCGCTACGTTGAAGACCAATTGGTGGCCTTTGGCTGTTTTGTGCTCTTTGGTCAGGTTGTTGTCTCTTGGACACATTCCCCGTTTCTATCCTCTATTTTGATTAAAAAATATTTGAACAAAAAAAAGAACTCCTAGCTTCTGTCAGATTTAGAAGTTTTAGAAAATGTTTATTTCGAAATGGCTATCACTGAAATATTTGTAATACTAGTAATGTATAGGAATAATATTTGTTTTTACGTCTACGAAAATAATTGTCTAGTGAAATGTAACTATGTCAGTTATCTCAATTCACTTTTTCCTGTCAAAATGTTGTGAGCTTTAAACCCTGATTTTACATTTTTTTTAATTTTCAGGACGATTGGACAAGGAATAAATCAGAAAAGGAAATTGTTCAAGCGGATCCACGGTATTTTATAGTGACAAATGTCAATGGGCGTGATGGTAATAGGTATTTTGAATCCCTAATCTATAGAGGTAAATGAAATTATAACCTACAAATAGGATTACTTCGACCTTTTTGTGGTAGGGTTGAGCAGCTGATACATCGAATCCTTCACACTTTTCATATATTTTGAATAAAAAAAATACATGTACCCTATTGTACATTTTTTGACAAAAAAATACATCTATATCTATAACGCTTACGCTATTTCATTGAGAGATACATAGATTTGACAAATATCTGATGCAGTTTTTACTAATTAAAATCGCATCTGTAAAAAAAATCAGATTAGTTACAGATATTTATGATCCCTTCAACAACCTTGCCATATACTTTATCTCAAATTATCGACCTTATCACAGATCATGAAGCTGAAAAGAGCGACCTATTCCAACCTATACCACACATATCTTAGTAAGTGATATCTAGTCTTCAGCAAAAGTCATGTGACTATTCAATATAATTATGTCTACGGTCTAAATCCTCCCAACAATAAAGTTTTGTTGTTGTTGTATATCATCTGATAATCAAATATATCTAATGTTTTCAGGAAGCTACTGGACATTTAATGGCAAAGGATTACAGCTCATCCAATGTAACAAGACAGAATTAATTATACGAGAGGACTTATGGTTTACGATCATTTCAACATCCAGATGATTGAGCTGCGGAATGATAAAAATAACTATAATATCCGTCCTATAATGAGCAGAAAAGTAACAATTCTATATACATGTGTATAGCTGTGTAAAAGTGTGTTTGATTGTGGATTTTAACTATGTATGATAAAGTCGAATGTGTTTCAAATGAACATTGGCAATCTTACCACATCTCCTTATTTTTATATACTATATCGAAATCGCTTGTAATATATATATACCAGGAGTTTACAACACAACATTCAAAGAAAACATGTTGGCAGAAATAAGCTAATAATATTTAAATCTATAATTCATATAATCTTTGTATATAATTGTTGAGAACTTCTGCCAAACTTTGTATACGAACTAGATCCAGAGTATGTCTTTTTAAATTCTATTTCTTTGGGGGCGATAGGTGGGTTTTTTTTCACGTACTTATTTTACTTTATATATGTTTTTATTTTACCTTATATATATATATATGCTACCTAGCTTCCAAAAACGATACTTTTTATCATATTTTATCAATAATATTCACATGTATCTTTGAAGGAACTTGTTTCGGAATAGTCAGCTACAGCTTGAGGCTCTAAAGAGCCTGTGTCACACACCCGGATCTAAGAGTGTGTTCAGCAATAACAACCCTCAAATAATAAACACTAAAATATAATTCATGACTAAATTTTTTTTTTAGGTTGGTCTTTTGCTGATCATTTTTTCTGTTTTTACGTTCTCTCTGTGTACTATAGTTTTAACCCAAACTACAAAAAAAAAAATTGGTAAAAATCGTCATTTCTTTAAGGGCAATAACGAAGTGTTCTTACAATTTCGGCTTTTCTAACCTATATGTAGATATAGTCTTGCTGATCATTTGTAGTGTTAATCTTCTACAGTTTTTGCTTAACACAGAAAAAATAGTAAACATTGTTTTAAAGGACAATAACTTCAAAAAAGAGTCAATTGACAATATCGACAATGTTGACTTAAAATGTATTTGTAGATCTTGTCTAGATCATTATTTTTATGTGTTCGGGTTTTCTTTATTTACCACATTTTTTCCATCATATGTAAAAAAAAGGGTAAAAATCATATTTAAAAGGCAAGTACTCCTATTATAACATTAACGGTACCAAGTTTACTGCACCAGATGTGCATTTCGACAATAAATGTCTCTTCAGTGATTTTCGAGGCCAAAATATTTGAAAATTCAAAACCTATCAAAAAAATGAAAAGCTGATAAAATCAATAAGGACATTACAAGGAGTCACCTGACAATATCTGCCGTATTGATATATTTGTAGATTTTGTCTCGCTGGTCATTATTACCGTTTACCATTTTTTCTATCTACTATAGTTTTGACCAAATATGCAAAAATTGGTAAAAAAAAAACACCATTAAAGTGCAATAACTCCTATAAGGAGTCAACTAACGATTACTGCATCTAGACACATCTGAAGATGTTCTTCTGTTAAATTTTTTTTATGTTGACAGCTTTTTTTATTTACTATATTTTTGGCCCAAATGCTAAAATTGGTAATAATAGTCAGTTTCGGTCTCGGTCTTACAACAAACTTTAAGATCTTGTCTTGTTGATTATTTTTGTTATTTAAAATTTCATATTTTTCATAAATAATAAACAAAAACTAAAAAATGGAAAAAAATCAACATTTGGCACAATAAGTCCTATAATTTGTAAATCTTGTCGTGCTGATAATTTTGCATCTTAAAGTTCCTCTCTGTCTATTGTAGATTTTAAGATAACTGGCAACAATTAGGGGTAAAAATTGTCATTTAAGGGCAATAGCTCCTATAAGGAGTCGTCTGACAGTTTTGATGTAAAATCGTAAAACAGGAATTGACTTTCTTGTACATCTGGGAAAAAAACAATAACAAAGACGAACAGACGAATAGAAGTTCACAAAACTTAACAAAGAAAACATACGAATAAGAATTATAAATCCCATCAAAAAGGCCGTAAGACTCAATTATCAATTAGTTCTTTTCAAAAAATTGTAAATTGCATTAACAGATTTTTTTTGTGTCCAAATTTGTAATAAAGATGACAATACATAACAATGTCCTATACTGAGCAATAGAGCTACTTAAGGTGTTGAAGTACAATGTCTTTGATTAATGAATATTTCCCCATAAGTACTAAGTTTTATTGACATAGAAACACATATTTTGAACGAATATATAATATACTTGAAAAGGTGATTATATGGATAGCAGAACTGAATATTGAATTTGTGTGTGCAGTTACATATCAACCTTTTTTTAAAGATAAATATATACACCTGCAACTCGTTTTGAGACAGTCGTAATTATGATAACAATTTATTGTAAGTTTAACTTATAAATGGTTGAAATTGTCATGACTAACGAGTATACTGTCAGTCGTAATATATATTGTGAGTACCGAGCCCGATGATTACATCAAAACAAAGTACTTAAATGTTTTGCCAATAAAATGACTAGATATTTATTTTTTTAAAGAAATCTCAATTTACACTGTCACACAGAATTAGTTAACATAGATGCAGCTGTCGCACAATTTGCACAGAAAACGATTTGGACATGCACCCCTTTTTCTTTTCCATTTTTGATGATTTATATATATTTTCTATTGCATTGTTTAACATATTCTATTTTAACTTCTTGTCTTTTACTTTATGTGAACTTGATCCATTCAATCTTACAATAACTATCGTTTATACCTGCTGCCATCTACTCTCATAAGATAGTATAGAAGCAGCAGATATAACCAAAAGTTTTTGTAAGATTAAATGGATAAGAGCAAACACATATAAAGTAAAGGAATAAAAGTCGAAATATAAAAAGAAAACGCCTATGAAAGGAAAGTTAATTTAGTCTTGTCCTTTTTGGGGTTGGCGTATGGAGTGATCATAAATAATAAGTCAAAGTTATTATGAGACGGCAACTCGACAAACACAAAAAATTTACACACATCTTCAACACTATAAATGTTTAAGATATTTAGACTTTCTAACTTAATAGGAAACTGGAAAGTAACAACATAATTTAATCAAATGCATTCAAAGTCAATTTAAGGAAATCGAGGTCCGTATGCATTAAGCTTTTTTTATTTAGATAAGAAAACTCTTTAAACTCTGTTTCACTTTTTGGATTACAATTAAATACTGCTATGAAACCAAATCTAGTGTCCGATAATTTGGCAAATATGGACTTCGTACTGCTGTTCGTCTTTATATCTAAAGGTAGATGTACCAGATATTGCCATATGGTATTTATACATCAATCATTGAGCTTCAAATGTTTGGGTTTGAGAGTTCCCGATGGAGGTAACTCAAGAAAAGCGCTTCGGATGCACGAAGTATAAGGTGATATTTTCCTTTTTTCAGATGATGAAGATAGATTCAATATGGCTTCAATCGAACATGCGGGATTATTCAATTATTAGGTAAAGTATAGTCTAAAATCGGCATACTGAAAATGAATCATATCTGTGGCGTTGAAATGTACTACTATGTTGTATTACTACTGTTTACAATGACTCATTTTCTTTGTTAATGGACTTTCCGTTTTGAATTTTCCTTGGAGTTCGGTATTTTTGATATTTTACTTTTTTCTGCATATGAATTTTCAAATGAACTTTACCTTAGGAATTCTAATAACGAACACTAATAAAAAAAATTTATTACACTAAAATCAGGTCATGATATGTGGGATTTAAATATCGCTTTGTCTGATAATACTGTTTTATTTCCTTTTCGTCCATATTCCTTACCTCTACACAATAATAGATGTACTTTATAGATGGTTTTTCCATTCAGTAATAACTACATTGTGTAATTTGGGACTATCGCCGAAATTTAATGCTTCCTTATTAGCACTTATTATAAGACATTCAACCTTAACACATATATGTACGTTCTAGATACACGTGCACACAAGGTAAGAATCATCTTATGTTGCATGTGATCAAAAGTAAAAAAAGAGCAGGGTCGATTTACCCGCAATTTTTTTCTCATCAGGGGTAAAACTATATTTGAAAGGTCCCACATTCGGTACTAATATCACAGCTTTTTGGCGCACCGTAAGCCTTTACAACCGTTAGACGTATTTGATAACATAAAGCAACATTATGTGTGGTTACAGAACTCATTTTTTGCGGTAGAAAAACTTTTGAATAGCTTTTCTCTGTAAATGTTCTTCAGATACTTATTCCTTTTTTTGTTAATATTTTTGTTTTGGTGTAAAAACAAACCAATGTCAATGTATCAAAATTATTTTAAATAACATTAGATAATACTAAGTCACATTTTCATTTCATTAAAAACTGTAAAACTGTTTGAATTTTTTTCTAGAATATTATTTAAACTTTTAATTATAATACTCAATGTTTTCTCGCTTTGATAGCTTTCTATTTTGACATGTGTGATAACTTATATTTTGATAGGTACATAAATTGTATTAGAATATAGAATGTTAGATGGGAAACATAGTTCTCATATCTAGCGTTGCCACTGATGCTTGTGTTTAAAAGTATTTTGTTCAGGCATATGTTCGATAAATGAAAACGCAATCCTAAAAGAAACCATGCTTAAATTGTTCCCTTGCAAACAGAAGAAAAAATACAAAAGAGATACGCCCTATAATAATCACTCTGTCTATCCGTCTGTCTATTTGTCCGTCAGCACTCACATGTCGTAACATAAGTCAAGATTGAATCAACCAATTTACATACTTTGTATGTATAGTCTTATGTAAAATGAATGTTCCTTTCGATCTGTAAAAAAAATTGGGAAAAATTGTGGTGTAAATTTTGCTGTTGTTAAAAAGTCACTATTCTGAGAAACATCTTTTTGTACTGGATTTCAACAAAAGTTGACATATGGATTTGATATACTATTCCAAATTGATTCTCGGTGTCAATTTTGGTCCAAAAACTTAGACTTAGTTTTTATTGAAAAATATGAGAAACCTCTGTTTTGTTTCTTTTCAAATGAAAATTATTATTGGTATACTATGCAATTCCAAATTGATTCTAAGTGCCAATATTAGCAAAGTTCCAGCAGCGCCTGCATATGGAGTACATATCTCCCAGCTGATACGATATCCCAGAGCTTGCATTTCCTAACATGATTTCTTTGATAGAGGTATGCTGCTCACAAGAAAGCTATTAAACCAAGAGTTCCATGTAGTGAAGTTGAAATCATCCCTTCGAAAATTTTACGGACGCCATCACGAGTTCGTTGACCGTTATGGAAATTCTGTTTCACAGATGACGACAGATATGATCTAATTGACGTAACCGCGGTCCCGTCCTCTTTTCCACAAATGGGACTTACCGAATTATAGTGATAACCAGAGATGTACTTACATGAGCAACACGACAGGTGTCAAATATGGAGTAGGATCTGCTTACCATTCCGGTGCATTTTAAATAAATGTTGGTGTTGCTCTTGCTTAAGTTTTAAGTGTTGTTCCTTGTTCTTTTTTTGTTTTTACATGTCTATGTTGTTTATACCTATGACAGTCTCGTTTATCCTTGTCACGAAAACATGTTTCTATTTCAAATGTTCATAGTCGGTCAAGTTTCAAGGCTAGAACATTTCCTTGACCGGTGGTTTATCAATTTGGTGATGTCTTAGGATTAGATAAGAGTCAATCACCAATCCACTTTTGCGTGATGCCTAAGCACTTGATATTATTATAATCAACGTATTATATTGTATTAATGCGACGTGTGTGGAATGTGGAGTAGGATCTGTTTACCCCTCCGGAGTACTTGAGATCACCCCCGGTATTTGTTGGTGGGGTTCGTGTTGCTAAGTCTTAAGTTTTCTATGTTGTGTTTTGTATATTGTTGTTTGTCTTTTGGTCATTCTTGTGTTTTGTCATGGTATTGTCAGTTTGTTTTCGACTTTGAATGTCCCTTTGGTATCTTTCACCTCTCTTTTATTATATGAAACACTTTTTTAAAAACTTTTTTGTTGGTAGGATGTCATATAGGTATAATTTTGTTTTTTCAAATTTATGCACAGTGTCAAATAGTATTTGTTGGTCGCCATTTTTGTAATGACCGCCAAAATACAGAAACAAAATCCCTAATGCTTAGATATTACTGAAATATTGAATTGATGGAGTACATATCCTCAATTAATTCCTGGTGTAAAATCTAGGCAAACTGATTGTTTGCATAGGTATTGATTATTTGTGTCTGTGCCTCACACAAAAACAAAAATATGCAAGCGAGGTCATTTTTGACATACATTTTTTGTAGTTGTTTTACACAATAAAATTGAGAATGGAAACGGGGAATGTGTCAGAGAGACAACAACCCGACAATAGAGCAGACAACAGCTGAAGGCCACCAATGGGTCTTCAATGCAGCGAGAAACTCCCGCACCCGGAGGCGTCCTTCAGCTGGCCCCATAACAAATATGTATACTAGTTCAATGATAATGGACGTCATACTAAACTCCAAATTATACACAAGAAACTAAAATTAAAAATGATACAAGACTAACTAAGGCCAGAGGCTCCTGACTTGGGACAGGCGCAAAAATGCGGCGGGTTAAACATGTTTTTTAAGATCTCAAACCTCCCCCTATACCTCTAGCCAATGTAAAAAAAATAAACGCACAACAGTACGCACAGTAAAACTCAGTTCAAGAGAAGTCCGAGTCCGATGTCAGGATAGGAAACAAAAGAAAATAAACAAAATGACAATAATACATAAATAACAACAGACTACTAGCAGTTACTGACATGCCAGCTCCAGACCTCAATTAAACTGATTGAAAGATTATGTCTTCATCATATGAATATCAGGCACAATCCCTCCTGTTAGGGGTTTAGTATTATACCATCATAAAATATATGAGAAGAACATAACCCGTGTCATGCCAACAACTGGTTTTAGAATAAATATGTTTAATTCCGATGCAAAGACCCTATAAGTGAATCAATATTAAAGCCAAAATATGCGATATCTATATCATTAACGGAAAGCTAAATACTAAAATATATGATAAAAGAGATGATTTTTCATTTCCTATCGTTAATTATCCATTTTTAGATGGTGACGTTCCCTTGTCACCATCTTACGGTGTTTATATATCTCAACTTGTACGATTCGCTCGTGTATGTAACAATGTTTTAGATTTTAACGAGAGAAATTTATGTATTACTGAAAAATTATTACACCAGGGTTTTCGATATCACAAACTAGTCAAAACATTTACTAAATTTTATCATCGGTATATGGACATCATTCGTAAATATAGCTCAACATGCAGACTTCTTATACGTTCAGGTATTTCACATCCAATTTTTTATGGAAATATTCTTTATAAAGCACAAAAATGTCAGTATTCACCTCTGAAACTAACAAAACCTTTAAATAGACTTATTAAGAAGGGATATAGTTACGATACTGTTGTCAGGTCATTAAAGATTGCATATTTTGGCGTTAATATTGATTCACTTATAGGGTCTTTGCATCGGCACTAAACACATTTATTTAAAAACCAGTTGTTGGCATGACACGGGTTATGTTCTTCTCATATATGTTATGATGGTATGATACTAAACCCCTAACGGGAAGGATTGTGCCTGATATTCATATGATGAAGACATAATCTTTCAATCAGTTTAATTGAAGTCTGGAGCTGGCATGTCAGTTAACTGCTAGTAGTCTGTTGTTATTTATGTATTATTGTCATTTTGTTTATTTTCTTTGGTTACATCTTCTGACAATAGACTCGGACTTCTCTTGAACTGAATTTTAATGTGCGTATTGTTATGCGTTTACTTTTCTACATTGGCTAGAGGTATAGGGGGAGGGTTGAGATCTCATAAACATGTTTAACCCCGCCGCATTTTTGCGCCTGTCCCAAGTCAGGAGCCTCTAGCCTTTGTTAGTCTTGTATTATTTTTAATTTTAGTTTCTTGTGTACAATTTGGAGTTTAGTATGGCGTTCATTATCACTGAACTAGTATATATATTTGTTTAGGGGCCAGCTGAAGGACGCCTCCGGATGCGGGAATTTCTCGCTGCATTGAAGACCTGTTGGTGGCCTTCTGCTGTTGTCTGTTCTGTGGTCGGGTTGTTGTCTCTTTGACACATTCCCCATTTCCATTCTCAATTTTAATCTTTAATGACCTGACAACAGTATCGTAACTATATCCCTTCTTAATAAGTCTGTTTAAAGGTTTTGTTAGCTTTTGAGGTGAATACTGACATTTATGTGCTTTGTAAAGAATATTACCATAAAAGATTGGATGCGAAATACCCGAACGTATAAGATGTCTGCATGTTGAGTTATATTTACGAATGATGTCCTTATACCGATGATAAAATTTAGTAAATGTTTTGACTAGTTTATGATATTGAAAACCCTGGTGTAATAATTTTTCAGTAATACATAAATTTCTCTCGCTAAAATCTAATACGCTGTTACATACACGAGCGAATCGTACAAGTTGAGATATATAAACACCATAAGATGGTGACAAGGGAACGTCACCATCTAAAAATGGATAATTAACGATAGGAAATGAAAAATCATCTCTTTTATCATAAATTTTTGTATTAAGCTTCCTGTTTATGATATAGATATCAAGATCGAGGAAAGGACAGTGGTCATTGTTAGTATTAGCTTTATTTAAAGTAAGTTCAACAGGATAAATTTCTTTAGTATACATACTGAAGTCGTCATTATTGAGAGCCAATATATCATCCAAATATCTAAAAGTATTGTTAAATTTTTGTATCAGATGTTGTTTCGATGGGTCTTTGCTGATTTAATCATAAATTGTAAAACATATATAATCACCAGGAAAAGGCTATGTCGGTACCAAATGTATGTGATAAGACTGACAACGGCGAAGAAGACGACGAATTTGAAGAAACGACTGTTTTAAGGCGACGTAGGCGATGCAACAAAGAGATTTCTTCAAGAGATAGTATTATATACAAGTATGATACCCTTTGCCACTGTGAAGAGGAATGCCGTTGTCAAGTCCAGCAGAATTTGCGGGAAAGTACTGCCGTAAGCTTTTTATTGCCTCACACGAACTAAATGTATAAATATACCAACCCAATTATTACCAACTACACATTTAGAGCATCACACCGAATTTAATGTATAAATTTGCCATCTCGGCAATACAAATTTTACCAACTACAAATTTAGAGACAATAGATGATGCAACCATAACATAAATATTAAAAGAACAGACATAATAAAATGATTATATATTTTTGCCAAATGCAACACAAATTTCAATGCAGATAATGAATTTTATTCAATTCCATTGATATTTGAAGGTTTATTATCACATTACATAGAAGTGTCATACGATTCCGTACTTTAAATTTGCTGAGTCATTACAGAAGTTAAATTTTATTTCCGTAATATGAAATGCAACATCTATGACTGCTTCATACAAAACGTGCTTCGATCAACGCTATTAAACCTCAATAAGATAACAAAAAGAAATTCAATCCTTACTTAAAACCTTTTGACGTGCTATGAATACATGAGTTTATTACAAAAAAAAAAAACAAAAAATAAATAAAATTTCACATTGATTTGTCATCTTACAAATGGCCTAGTTATATAACCTTCCCACCTAAACAATCATTTCAAGCAATAGGGAAGTTAACATAATACAAAAAACCAAAAAGAAATATGGTTGTTCCTGATTAAGGTTTTTTTCATTTCAGGCATGATATTACTTATACTTAACGTTTTAAAACGTGCAATGATTAAGTACTACTTAGTACTACTAGTAAATTTACACATGTTTTTCACCATTAGACTTTATCTGTATTATTGAATTGATTGTCATTTATTTTTGATAGGGGTGATTCATTTAATGTTATTTTACATTCTGCTCTAGAAAAACTGGTATAAAATAAAGAGATGTGGTATGATTGCCAATGAGAAAACTGTCCAACACAATCCAAAATGACTTGGATTTAAGCAACTATATGTTATCATACAGTCTCAGTCAACAATGAGCAAAACCCATACTGTATATAGTCGGCTATAAAAACAAAAATATGACAGACAACAACCAACGGCAACTAGTGAATTACAGACCCTTGATTGTTATTCATTATATTTTAGTATATCTTCCCTTGCCGTAATGTCAACAGAAAATATATATATATATATTTGGCAACTACGATTTACACATTCGTTTGAATTTCCTTCTGTTGAAAACATCTTTGAAGAGACATAAAAAGAATTATTAAATTCCCAAATAATATTTTAAGTTATACCCGTTCCTCTCTAGTCGAACTTGTCGTCTGGAATGAAGAGGTAATTTATTTGAATGATCTCTTGAAAATTTAATTTGATTGGCCGTACAAACAAGGTTAGTCTAAATACCCACAAGTTTCAAGAGGCGAGCCAGCATAGTAATTTATATGGTGTTTTCTGGCTGTTCTAACAAATGATCGTATTCTATTTAGATGGAAGTAATAGACACAACTACCAGAAGATCCGTTATTGATTTTATGGTAAAAGAAGATGTCGTGAAAGGTGGAATGAATCTTCATTCGAATGATTATGGACACTATATCGAAATCACAGATACCCGTAATAAATACCCTTCAAATATGGCATTGCAGTTAGTATTGCTTTGTATCTAAATATTAATTGTTGTGGTTAATGGTACATTGTTAATGAATGTCTATAACGTATTGGTTAGTGGTACATGTACATTGTATCTGCAGTTTATTACTTGTTTAGGCAACATTGGAATTATATAAATTTTGTTTTTATTTTTGCAAGTTTTTTTTACCTCAAAACTACTGATTAGGAAAACAATAGATATAAGAAGATGAGGTATGAGTGCCAATGAGACAACTCTCCATCCAAGTTACAATTTATAAAATTAAACCATTATAGGTCAAAGTACGACCTTCAACACGGAGCCTTGGCACACACCGAACAGCAAGCTATAAAGGGCCCCAAAAATTACTAGTGTAGAACCGTTAAAACGGGAAAATATTTGGTTATATCCATTACTGATGTCTTCTATTATTTGTATTGGTTCTAGTCGATAATAACTCACAGTAATGTTTTTTTTATTAAGTCACACTAAATAGAGCCGTTTCGAATAAAAAATAGTGCTGGTATTTCCACTCATTCATCAACTACGTCAACGCGAAAGCAACCCAGCCAAAAAAAAATAGGCAAATACAGACAGTCCTCAAGTAGACATGCTCATAGGTTGGTTCCCTCCATAAAAATATTCAGTATGCCTTCGGAATATACAAATATTATCGTATTATCAAACTGGTAAAATAACGGCCGGGTATCAGTCTAACATGCTTACAATTCAAGCTCGAAAGCGCCTCAGAATAAACAAATAAACAGAAACTATCGAAGATCTTCCACCAACACCAAATGAAAAACATCAATCAGATATTCCATTCAGATATGTCATAAGACATAAACACTAACAATGTTTGTGACTTGGTTTACAATTTTATGACTCTCTCTCTCTCTCTCTCTCTCTCTCTCTCTCTCTCTCTCTCTCTCTCATTAGATTAATTTACTTACAGAAACACAGACAACATACTAGGTATTAATAATCAAGCAGTTGATCAGTATCACCACTTTATTGTCTTGGAAATGTTCCGGAACATGATTAAGTCTTCAACAGAAGAACCACTCAGTTTGGTACGTATGAAAGACAAATATAATATGACTATAGGGTATGTTTGGGGGAGCGCCACTGTTTTTTTCAGACCTTAGAAAGGTAATTTGTTAAAGTAATCTTAATACCAAAATCCATGTTCTGTCTCCGAATAACCTTCTGACTTTGAGAAATACTCACTTTTTATAGGACCGCAAAATATTTTGCGTCCATATTATGTTATGGCGATGTCTCAGACTGCATCATCGTCCGAAGACATTTTGGTTCGCAGACAATAACTTCAGTAAAAGTGTATGGATCTCATTGAAATTTAAGCACAAGATTCCATACCACTAAATGATGGTTGGGATTGTTTTTGGGAGGTATTGTCCTAGTGGTTTTGTAATTAAGGGCCAAAAAAGGTAAGTTTTACTGGTTCATAGAAAATAAATTGGATCTCAGACAATAACTTGAGTATAAGTGTATGGATCTGTATGAAATTTTACCACAAGGTTCCATACCACAATAGAAGGGTTGGGATTGATTTTGGGGGTTATTGTCGTGGCTGTTTTGTAATTAGGGGCCAGAAAGGGACCAAACACAATTATTTGTCTGGTTTTAAGACAATAACTTGAGTATAAGTGTATATTCTCTATTAAATTTTAGCACAAGGTTCCACAACACAATAGGAAGGTTTGGATTAATTTTGGGGTTTATTGCCATAGCTGTTTAGGAATTAGGGGTCAAAAGGGCTTAACAAAAAACAATTATTTGTCAGGTTCACAGACAATAACTTGAGTATAAATGTATGGATCTCTATTAAATTTTAGCACAAGGTTCCATACCACAACTGGAAGGTTGGGATTTATTTTGGGGGTTATTGTCATAGCTGTTTAGTATTTAGGGACCAAAGAGGGGCCAAAAAAAAGCATTTTTCATGTTTCAGGACAATACTTTGTGTATGAGAGTATAGATTTCTATGATATTTTACCACAAGGATCCATACTTCAAAAGGAAAGTTAAGATTGATTTTTGGGGGTCACGGCCCAAACCGTATAATAATCAGGGGTCGAAAAGGGCCAAAACCAACTATTTTTCTGGTTTGCAGGCAATAACTTGAGTATAAGTGTACGGATCTCTATTAAATTTTAGCACAAGGTTCCATACCACAATACGAATATTGGGGTTCATTTTTGGGGGTATTATATTAGCTGTTTAGGAATTAGGGGCAAAAAAGGGGCTAATAAAAACAATTATTTTTCTGGTTCACAGACAATAACTTAAGTATAAATGAATGGATCTCTATTAAATTTTAGCACAATGTTCCTTACTACAATAGGAAGGTTGGGATTTATTTTAGGGGTTATTGTCTTAGCTGTTTAGTAATTAGGGACCAAAAAGGGATACTTTGTATAAATTGCTTATTTCTTTAGCAATTTCAATGGGGTTTAATTCAAAGTCTTGAATTCTTGAGGTTCTTTAATATGCTGAATCTAATTGGGTGTTTATTATTTGGATTTTGGGTCGGTTTTAGAATTGATCCATATTAAGGTTCAAAGGGTCCAAAATTAAACTTTGTTTGATTTCATCAAAAATTGAATTATTGGTGTTCTTTGATATGCTGAATCTAACCATGTATTTAGATTTTTAATTTTGGGGCCCGTCTTCAAATTGTCCCACATTAAGGTCCAAAGGGTCCAAAATTAAACTTTGTTAAAAAAAAATTTGAATTCTTGGGGTTTATTGATATGCTAATCTAAGCGTTATCTAGATTTTTGATTTTGGGCACAGTATTCAAGTTTGTCCAAATTGGGGTCCAAAATAAAACCTTGTTTTGATTTCATCAAGAATTGAATTATTTGTGTTTTTTATGTGCCCAATCTAACAGTGTTTTAGATTTTTGATTTAGGGTCCGTTTTTCAAACTGGTCCACATTAAGGTCCAAAGTATCCAAAATTAAAATTAGTTTGATTTTAACAAAAATCGCATTCTTGGGATTCTTTGATATTAGTTTTTTTTTTTATTTTGCGCACAGTTTTCAAGTTGGTGCAAATTGGGGTCCAAAATTAAACTTTTTTGTTTGATTTTAACAAAAAAATGAATATATGGGGTTAGTGTATTTAGATTTTGGGTCCTGTTATTAAATTGGTCCACATTGAGGTCCGAAGCGTCCAAAATTAAAGTTTGTGTTATTTCTTCAAAAAATTAACAAAAAGGGGTTCTTTGATGTGCTGATTCCAACCATGTATTTAGAATTTGGATATTGGACCATAATTGGTAAATGTCAAATTTTCTTTAAAGTACTTAGACCACATTCATTCTGTGTCAGAAACTATGCTATATCAAGTACTTGATTAGAATCTAAATTTAGAGCTGTATTACACAATTGTTAGAAATTTTAAGTTGAACCATAGTTAAAAATAGATATAGCATCATATTCTCATTTTAGAATTTATGTATAAATATAGTTTGAAATTTAATGTTCATTATTAAATATTTTGAAAAGAGGTAAGTCTTATAGATTTTTTAAAGACACTGTATTAATGATGAATGATATTTTCGAAATTGTTTTTTTTCTCATTTTTTTTTTGTAAATTTTTTGAAGAACTCCGTGGTAGATTTGTTTGTTATTCTGTATAAACTACTTTTCAGAATGTTATATACATATATCTTTTATGAAGCAAACCCTTTTGAAAACTTAGCTAATATTGTCCAATAACAAATAAATAAATTAAAATCTTGGTGTACTAAGATATTATGGTCCAATAATAAATAAATTAATTAAATTCTTGGTGTACTTGGATATGCTGAATCTAACCGTGTATTTACATTTTGGATATTGGACCATAATAGGTTAAATCCAATTTCAAATTTTTCAGTTTTTTGACCACATTAGTTCTGTAACAAAAATCTTTGATGTGTCAAATATTTAACCACAATCCAAATTCAGAGCTGTATCAAGCTTGAATGTAGGGTTCATACTTGCCCCAACTGTTCAGGGTTCGACCTCTGCGGTCGTAACCAGTTGCGCCTAGTGGAGCATTTTATAAATTACGACTTCCCTTTTTTTTAAATTGTGATGCAACATTTTGTGGTAACTGTTGTGATTTTAAATAATGACGGACAAATTTGCATACAAGTGTTAATGCGTCTATTCAAATTGTAAAATATGCTGTCGTTGATGGAAATGTTCGACTGTTAAATGATTCGTTGAATGCATTTTTCAGTTGGTAGAGTACGCTCATGGCTGTATGGATGTCCAAGATTTTAGAAGACATTATTCTTGAAAAGATTTACTACCTACTTTTAAAATACATATTTATTGTTGGATGAAAACAAGACGAACACATTATAGTATTTTCCCAACAAAAGAGCTAATAAAACTATAAAAGGCCAGTATTAATTGAATATATGTATGTATGTGTTTTTTTTATTTTGTATATGTTGTTTAGATAGTCGAAAGACAACAGGAAAATGGAAATAAAGAGATATTAGAAATTGAAGTGAATGTGGAAGTTGAAATTCAATGTAAGTATAAAGTTAACTTAAAATTTGTTACTACATTGTATTTTATGTATGCTCACTTGTGAGTTAAAGAATGAAAGTTTATTTGTTAGCACATATTTGACAATTCAAATTGATAACTAAGTTATAAATAACACAATTGTTAATACACATGTCTTTTTTCTTAAAACAGATGAACCTATTGTGAAGGTTGACGCACATGTTTGTCATTCCTCATCCTACGACCTCAACATTAGATGTGTTCGATATCTTGAATGTATTGACTGTCGCATACACAATGGCGGGAAAACCAATTACTACGTCACTACAGATAAAATTGATAACATACATATGAGACCTCTCAGGCATTCGGATAAAAAGAAAAGTAAGTATGTATTTAACCCTTACAAGCAGTTTATGTTTATTAGACTGAAGTTAAAAGCCGCAAACGATTTTATATGGTACGGATGGGGAAACGCTCCAATAACAACAAGAGGGTGTTGTACAGATAATCACGATAACATATCGCACTTTATCAACTTTTCAACATCAATTCTAAATCCTTTGTAAATGATGAAAATGTAAAATGAAACAGAATATTGCACCTTTTTTCCATTGTCCGTTGATATTTTAGTTGCGAAACCGCTGACGGTGGACTACTAGTTTCGTGATTTGTAACACATTTTTTTTATATTATCCAATGATAAAATCAATAAATTATTAAGAAATGTATGTTGCAGTTCCGACAACAAAGATGGCCTTATGTAGATTTGGCCATTTTTTTATGGTCTCTTTTGGGACATTTTACATCATTGGCTTTCGAGTTTATTGATTTGAACGTTGATTATGAAGGTTGATACAGAAAAGCACCTCTAACAAACTTAATAAAGTGTTGTTTCCAGTTTTTGATAAGAAGCACACACCAAAATGACTGATGATATGGTTTGAGGTAGCTTAAGATAAAAACATACACAAAATGTTTATTTAGCATTACTAATCATCGTTCAATTAAACAACAATAAATGAACTAGGCGTAGATATAGGTGACAAAGCATTACAAGTTATGTCCATCTTTTTTTTAGTTCAATTAATATTTGCAATTTCGAAGAAAATCCCTCAAATGTTTATTTTCTTATGCAAAATCAGGACTTCATCTACCGTCTTTTGGTTTTTGTATGTTAAAATATTTTTTTATTTATATATTTACTTCTCAAATATCTATCATTCTCGTTTAAACTGAAAAAAATATAATATAAACAGAATTTATTATCTTCAGATATATTTAAATGTTACAAGTTTCATGGTCTTTGTATGCAGCGTGGCAGAAGACCAGTTCCAATGTTCATCGGCGTTTTCCAGTCCTACGAAGACAACCAATTTGTCATGGCTTCAAGCAAGACAACTCTTTCCCTAATTGTACGTTTATAAACAAACGAAAATTTAGTTTTTGAGGCATATTCATTGCAAAAGTAATATTGATGTTTTCGACATTACTATAAGATTTTCCTGTCTGTTTTTGAATATCAATATCTGGATTAACGCTCAATTGAGCTTTCATTGAATTTTCCATGATATGAATTATTAACTTAAATGATTTCACAGCACAAGGGCAATTATTTAAAAAGAAGCTAATATAATGGTAATACTAAGGTAAGTTATTTATAATACTTGAAAGTATTCATTTTTTGCTGATAACTTAACGGTCTATTAAATCCCTGGAGACTACTTTTTGGTTTATTTAGACAAGATTGATTATAATGTGTAGTTTAAAAATGGAGCATTAACGGGTCAGTCCTACAGAGTTGAACACGCGATACCAATATCATTAATTTCGAGTAAATTAATCGAAAAGACTCTTTGAAATGGATAATAATGGTCAACTATCAACTTTCGTCTGAATTTCCCCAAATTCCGTCGAAGTCCTATGGACAACATATTTTGTAGAAAAAATAATACATTTAAAAACGTTATGTGAATCAGCCTAAAATCAGACATTCAGGTCCCCTAAAAAGTCACGTATTTAAAAGTATGAAGATAACAAGGGGTCAAACGTAAATCATAATGAAATTAGCAGCAACAGTAGTTAACAGATTTTCAAAAGTAATAAATTCATTTGGACATTAGTAATCAAGATAAAAGCAAGATATTTTGTGAATACAGACAACATTCTTCTCAAACGAAGATAGGAAGTCCCTAGAACAGCAGCACACACTCTAGATATTGAGCAAAACAATCGATTGTAATCCAGAGGTAAACTCTGGTGACCGAGATGGGTAGATAGTTCCTGCTTCACAAGTTGCAGTTGTCATCTTACTAATGGCAAGTCAAAACACGACGATATGCTGCATTCGGTTACGTAAAAAAAAGGTTAAAATACGACGATAATCTGCATTCGGTATCGTAATAAAAAGTTTAAAGGAGGTGGGGAATACGACTTCCTTAAATGCAACATTCGTTGTTATCATAGCCATAAGCGTATCGATATTACAAAGTTTAATATATATATATATAGTCAACAATAGTTTACTGATGTTCAAATCATATCAATCGAAAAAGAAGACAAATCAAGGTAACAAACAAAAAGTAAAGGAATCGTGTGAAGTCCAAAAGGAGCGAGTCCAGGTGTGTCGACAGAGTAAACAACTACTGATACGAGAATGAGAAATTAGAATCCGCACTCAGTCTATTCTCACTTCCGGGAATAGGACACCATCGGTAAACGTAGCAACTTTACAAAAGAGAACAATATTGTCCTAGTAAGAAACAATCCTTTTAATGAAAAAAATACCGATTACGAAATCAAGCACCTTAATCATATGAGAATAACGGAAGATACAGACTACATACGTAGTAGCAGTGGAAATGTTGGTGAATCAAAACGTGAGGGTTTTTAATTGGCAAAATGATCTCACCATAAATCGTTTGTTGTAAAGTTTAGTTAACATCGACTTCATTGTGGAAAAAGATGAGATTTGGGATATACAACAGTAAGATAGCAATCAAAACAAAAAAAGGAAAAAACAAACTATAATCAATTTCTAGACTTAAATCAAGATATGAAACAGACTTAATTGTATGTGCAGGATATTTAACTTCAAATTCAGTGGGACAAAGTTAATCAACATATCCAGCATTTAAATATGAAATGACAGCATGTCAAGCCAATGGTTAAAACTAGATTCTCATTGTTCTTCTTCAGATAAAACCAAAATAAGTCTAGCTAATAAAAAAAAAGTAATTCAGCTCGTTTTAATAGAAGTGTCAAATGTCTGTTGACACTAAACGCTAAAAAATATGTTGTCAGTAAGAAAATTAAGCATCTTGATGATGTTATTTTAGAAAGATTTATTAGAATCAGAATGACGTTTATGGAACCAAGTTCCTCTCAAAGCGATGACGAAATTTTATCTTGATAGTTTAAATATTATGATATTCCGAAAGTAAAATACTGTTGTTTCTTATTTAATGTTGTGTTTGAATATTTGAAATTTCAGAATATTCCCACTAAACTTAACACAAACATGAGACAAATTACCAGGGCAGATCCTAGATTCTTTGTTGTATCTAGAACAGGCAGTGGTCACTCATATTTTGAGTCACTCCAACACAGAGGTAAATTTATGCCATACATAGATTAAAAGAAAAAAATATAACCCAGCAGTAAACCCTGTGTTTTTGTTATATTAACGTATACTACAGAGTCCACTGTATACGACCTCTTTTTGGAACAACTTTCATCAGAAACTCGAGAGATGAAAAAAAGTCAAATATATTCAACGATTGGGAACATTACATAAAACGGATGTCACCGGTGCACCTGAGATCAACCCCAGTTTAAATGGGTTGGTGTTGTTCAGTTTTTAGCTTTTGTACATTGCTCTATGGGATGATTCTATTTTCGACGTCTTTCGTTTTGTGCCATGACGTTGTCAGTTTCTTTTCGACCAATAAGCTTGAATTTCCCCTTGGTATCTTTCGCCTCTAGTTTTAACATATAACTGAAAACAAACTAACCGAATCCATCTTAGGTGATTCTTGCTTAAGAAGGCATGTGTTTATAACATTAAAGATAAAATGATTTATTCTTATGTTTTGAAATAAACAAATTAATAAATCTTACTCGAAATAATCAGTAGATACTACCAACGAAGGTATAGCATTCACTGAAGAGTTGTATTTGTATTGAGATATTTTGTTATATTTTTGCATTCAAAAAAAGACTATAACATGTGTCAGAAGCAGTTAGCAATTTTAAAATGTTGTTCGCCTTTAGTTTTTATGAAGCGTTTTGCAGACTGTTTTCGGGGCTTTTTTGTCATGATTTTGTCGCTCTTTTTCGACTGATTTTTTTTATCTTCCCTTTTGTACCTTCCTCCTTATCTTGAATTAACACATTATAAGCATGTTTATAAGATGACCGCACCCGAATCCATGCTAATTTTTTCTTATGAATTTTTCATGAAATGAAATACAATCGTCATGTTTCAGTTAATATAGTAGATTGACATTAATAATAGAAAATAATAAAATGTGGTATGATTGTCAATGAAACAACTATCAATTTAAAAAAAAGCGGATTTAATCAACTATATCTATAGGTCAAAATAAAGCCTTCAACAATAAGAAAACCCATAACGTATAGTCAGCTATTAAAGGCCCGACAAAATGCCAAACAATTCAAACAGCCTGATCTATGACAAAACAAAAAGGAAAAACAAATACGACAGACAGCAAACAAGTACAAGCACTGAAACACGTGCTCCTGACTGGAAACAGACACATATCGAATGTCACGGAGTTAAACTACCTGCGTTAAATCGTTGTTTTAAAAATTAATACCCAACTTTTAATGAAAATCTTGTAAACTTGTAGAAATGAAAGTGTTTCATTTTTAAGTTTTTTTTAGCTCCTATTTCCCAAGGACTTATACCACCATTGTTGTCCCCTATTAGTCTTTGTTAAATTGACATTTTTCAAAAAATTGTAGAGAATTCATCATTGTTACAAATAAAGAAATACTTGGCATGAGAAAAGATTTATCCTGTCCAGTACTACATTCAAAATTTCAAATATCATTCCATTGCATATAAGATAATAACAATCACCGGAAGTAAATCAATCAAATTTCACCATTTTTTCCTGTTTACAAGCTTAATAAACCATATCACCTCAAATTTCCAATTTTTTTTCTGCAATGAAATAAAGGGTTTATTGCCTATAACTGTCAAATTCAAGAGAATATTTTTTTCAACCCTTTTTCGTATGAAATCGTTTGTGACGTACTATTTTTTTTGTGGTATTACACCCCAATCAAGGATTTTTTCATATATATATGACCTTTATTTTTAATGTCCTCTAGAACTTTCGTCAACTTTAGTATAATATATTTTAACTGTTTTCTTATTGTTCCTTAATGTTTAACATTATTTTAATTTCAGGCAGTTATTGGAAATTTAATGAAAACACTTTGCAACTAGCACGACGATCGAATATGGAAGCAATGTCAAGTTATGACTCACATTTCCGATTTGTCCCCGTTGACTAATGTACAACGACCTTTACAAATGTTACTGTCCCTAGAATAAAAAGTAATTTTCATTTTGTTATTTTATATGACGCACTGCACCTTCTTTTCTTAATTCCAAAAGGCTGGAATACGATATATGTAGAAAATTAAATGTGTAATGAAATGCAAATACAAACAAAATGCAACATTTTCATGTGTCTTATATCGTAGTGAACATGCTTGACATGTTTGCCACTGGACGTTAAGCAATTAACAATCAATGAACCCATGTGTCTTTCCGCATCTGGAACCTCTTTTGTGGTTGTATTTTGCCATTATATCGTTTATAGCAAATCTTTGATAGCAAAAATAAGGAAATACGTTGGTATTTCCTCAATGAAACAGCAACCAAAGAGCATACAAAGATATTTCTGTCTTTTAAAAGAGAGGCAAATGATAGCAAAGGGACACTCAAACTCACAAGTCGAAAATAAACTGGCGACGCCATGGCAAAAAAAAGAAAAGACCAAAAGACAAGATAGAAAACTAGAGACTTAAGTTTATTCATAGATAGTAAAATCGGGCAACTTGGAGTTTAATATGTTGTATTGATTGATTGATTGTTGCTTGCGTCACGTCCAGTGTTGATACATTGTTCACCCGTCGTCTATTGTTGAAGATCGTATGTTAACATCTACCCGATATGGACAAACTTAAAACTTTACCGTTTTTATATCCGTGTGTGCGGGAGAATAAATCGATAGCTTTAATTTGCTATTTTGAAAAAGAGGACGAATATACCATGGGGACAATCAAAACTGATAAGTCGAAGAGAAACTGACAACGTGATGGCAAAAAAGTCCACAAAAAACTAAATAGAAAACTTAAGATTGAGCAAAATGAAACCCAACAACAAATGGGGACAATCTCAGGTACTCAAGAAAGGTAAGCACATGGAAATATCTTAGAGTAATTTTGATAGATATAGCGCTCTGCAAATATTGGTATGTTGTGTTTAAACTAAATTATGAGTTTTTCTTTTTTTTTTTCGCAGTTTGTTTTACATTTGTGGTTTTACTTACTTTCAACAATTTCGATCAAACCACGATTATCAAATTTCTAGTGCTTTAGGTTTTTTGTCTAGCATTCGTGGCTTAGTCTACTGTTGATGAACGTACATTGCACACTGAGAAGTCTTTTCGTTGTATGATTGGTGTCACACTTTTGCGTTCACCACATTTCTTTTGTCATTCACGCAATAAAAGTTTTGCCAGATATGTGTATGTCATAAGAATCTCTATATTCAGTTCAATTGGATGAATTAGTGGTCTAATCAAGATTTTCCTCCCTACTTTTCTATACTTTGGAGCGTTAAGAGCTTGACATATTGTATTTATACTGTGTTGATGTCTAGATGCAACATGTGTTTGTTGGTATAAGACTGCTATCTCCCTTAATCTAATTTGATAGATATTGGATCGACTACTATTTTCATTAATGATTATACACTATATTTATTTCTTTACTGACCGTTAACATATTAGTACTAGTTGCGACTTAGATATTTCCGTTTGTTGTCTGTTGGTCTTTTGGTTATAGAGATAAATTATTGTCAACGTTTGGTATAAGTTTATTATCTAACAATAATGAGCAAATTTAAGTTTATCCATACCACAGTATGTAACATTTTATGTACATGACACTTCCGATTTGTTTGCAGATATTATCATATCTGTGTTGTTACCCTTTATCCAATATGTTGTCATTAAGCCCTTTCCCTGTAAAATAGACATAAATTAATCCAGCAGATGGATTTTGTTTGGTATTCATTATAAGCTTTACATGTGGAAAACAGTCTAATAACATTAACTTTATTGCAATGTATAATATTTACGTATTTTGCCAGTTGCATCACCTAAATCGGCTATCGTTTGTCATTCATCTCTGCCATTTCAGCCACATTAGCGACTTCGTGATGAATAAAAAAATATGAAACATTCAACCATTTTAGAACAGAGAGTATGGCTTATCTTAATTGGATACATTCGATATTGTTATACATTTCTAGAATAATATATCTCACGGACTATTTTAAACTAATTTTACCATCCCACATTTCCCAAGAATAGTATCTTAATGTCTCCTAATGTTGCAAGCATTTTAGAATCAACTGTTTGTGTTCCAACTTTGTGCACCTCTAGTGTTATTGTTTTACCACATATTTAACCTCATAACGATTTAAGGTTTTTGTTCGTTTTTTTTTTTTGGTTTCGTTTTTTTTTTTTTATAGCTTGCGTAGGCGAGACACTTTGATCAAATCAAAAATGAATGTACAAAATATTATAAAAGTATATATCTTGTTTTTGTTTTATCGCGATTTTATTTTGAAATTAGGTATATGCGATCTTACATTTACTTACTTTGATTGACAATATCCCCCTACATTTAACGTCAAATTCAGAAAAATTGTCGAGTAACGTCTTTGTTGCTTCACTGATATGTATCTTCATGGCTAAAATATAAGTCATATTGTAGGATGAACATTAAGAAGTTAACAACAAAAATACCGAACTCCAAGGAAAATTCAAAACGGAAAGTTCCTAAACAATTGGCAAAATCAAAAGCTCAGGCACATCAAACGAATGGAAAACAACTGTCATATTCCTGACTTGTAACAGGCATTTCCTTATGTAGAAAATGGTGGATTAAACCTGGTTTTAAAGCTAGCTAAACCTCTCACTTGTATGACAACATATTTCATTATATTGACAACAATGTGTGAAAAAAACAAAGAGACATAATAGGTAAAAATGTCAAAAATAGGGGTACAGCAGTCAACACTGTGTTATAATCTCAATCACTATAAAAACAAAGAAATATGTCAACAAGGAAAAGCAAAAAGGCATATAGACAAAGCAAATACGCAAAAATGAAAAGATGCGTGTTGCATTACAATCTAAAACATATATAGAATAATGGCATTTTTGTTTAATTCTATATTTCTTTTAATCGGCAATTTGTCTTAACTGTATGTTTTTTTGGTTGAGGTTATGAAGTAAAATGAAATAGTTAGTAAAACTACTTAAAACACGCGTCTGGCGTATCAAAGTATAAGCCTGGTACCTTTGATAACTATTTACACCACTGGGTCGATGCTACTGCTGGTGGACGTTTCGTCCCCGAGGGTATCACCAGACCAGTAGTCAGTACTTCGGTGTTGACATGAATATCAATTATATGGTCATTTTATAATTTCCTGTTTGCAAAAGTATGAATTATTCGAAATACTAAGGATTTTCTTATCCCAGGCACAGATTACCTCAGCCGTATTTGGCACAACTTTTTGGAATTTTGGGTCCTCAATGCTCTTCAACTTTGAGCGTCACTGATGAGTCTAATGTAGACGAAACGCGCGTCTGGCGTATCAAATTATAAGCCTGGTACCTTTGATAACTAATTAAAGCGAACAAAATGTTGTGATATTTGTTCGGTTGTATGATTGAAGCCGCGTGCATTTCATTGATAAATTGACGCGGATGGACTAGTTATTGCCTAATATTTTCAAGTATCAAGTCCTGTCAATGAAAAATATTAAAATATAAGCCAGTAAGATTAAAAGGAAAATGTACAAATTGCCGATAAACAATGATAGCCCTTGGATGTGGGCAATGCATTATAACATTTACATTGTACAGGCACAACATTTGGGGGATACATATCATTGTATCATATGTTTTGATAATATTTTATTTGCCCTTGATATTCACACTCCTGTACAAATTATGATATTTTCCGGAGCACCGGAGCTCACCCCCAGTTTAGGTGGGGTTAGTGTTGCTAAGTCTATAGTTTTCTATGGTGTGTTTTGTGTTCTGTTGTTAGTCTTTTGGTTGTTTTTTTATACATGACATTGTCAGTTTATTTTTGACTTATGAGTTTGAATATCCCTTTGGTGTCTCTCGTCTCTCTTGTAAAACGAAATTTTTAGTACACCGAGGTAAACTGCCCTTACCTCTTTCATTAATCAAGAATTTAAACTTGGATAATTTAAAGGCAATGACACGTGTAAATATGCATGGCATATATATCCATCACACTTATTACCGTACCTTCACCTTTTGATTCCATTCTAGACGCAGTGTTAACTGTATCTCCAAATAAGCAGTACCTTGGCATCTTCCTACCCACCACACCTGCGCATACAGATCCTACAATATTGTGGACAGGTTTTACCTTTTTGTTTACATCATCAGTTGATGGTCATATATTATCCATTTTTTTTATTATACAATGTATTAATTATGGTATGATACTAAACCCCTAACGGGAAGATTTGTACTTGGTTTTCATATGATGAAGACATAATCTTTCAATTAGTTTAATTGAGGTCTGGAGCTGGCATGTCAGTAACTGCTAGCAGTCCTTTGTTATTTTATGTATCATTGTCATTTTGCTTAGTTTCTTTTGTTACCTATTCTGACATCGGACTCGGACTTCTTTTAAACTGAGCGTATTGCTATGTGTTTCTTTATTATACATTGGCCAGAGGTATAGGGGGAGGGTTGAGATCTCACAAAACATGTTTAACCCCGCCGCAATTTTTGCGCCTGTCCCAAGTCAGGAGCCTCTGGCCTTTGTTAGTCTAGTATGTTTTTAGTTCATTTATATGTTCTGGAGTTTAGTGTGACGTCCATTTTCACTGAACTAGCACACAATTTTATTTAGGGGCCAGCTGAGGACCACCTCCGGGTGCGGGATTTTCTCGCTGCATGGAAGACCCATTGGTGGCCTTCGGCTGTTGTCTGCTTTTTGGTCGGGTTGTTGTCTCTTTGACATATTCCCTATTTCCATTCTCAATTTTAAATTGTCATTAAGAATACAAAGGACCTTTCAGTTGAGAACAAAACTATTCAACAAAAGAAATGTTTTCAGCTTTCCAATTGAATGCATCAGGAAATAATAGTTAAGTTAGTATAAATTGATTTTTGAACGATCTTGAAAAAAAAGCAAAAAAAAAGCAAAAAAAAAACAAAAAAACATATACTTATTGTTTCATATATGTCAAATTGGAGTATAAATTAATTCTCATCTCCTGTTATGATCAACCTGTATTCACTTGTCTTATGTTATGTTTATCGTAAACATGATGACGACCGACAATCGCCTACAGTTTGAAAATCAAGACATGTCTAAAAAAATGTATACGATATGGAAATAGATGTCCGCAGAAAAAAATCACCTTATACTTATATACCTCTGCAATTGTGAATGTTGTTCAATTCAAATGTATCTGACTTGTCAAACACATTCTTTCAACTCTTTAGATATTTAACATGTTGTAAGAAAGCCTTTTGCTGTAATCTAATGCGCATGAATTTAGTACAAACAGCATAATCTGTTTAGTTTGTTCTTGGCTTATAGTCTACAGAATATCATTTTTGAGTTGTTATATGGATAATACATGTATAGAAGAAAGAATAATTTGTTTACAACTTCATTTAACAAAGTCGGTGTGGAGAACACTTATTACCGACTGAATTTACTCCTATGTTTTTTTCTGTTCATAATTGGGGAAAATTAAATATAAATCTTTTACGTCAAAGGCGCTTTTCTGAATAAACCTTCATAAGAAACGTTCAAAGCCAAATATTGGAAAGTTAAGGGATCGAAAATACCGAAACATATGAGATATATAACGAAAAGGGACCTAAAAATAATAGCAAATTTAAATTACGGTAACCTTTCTAAGGGACTTCGAACCTCATTTATTAATAATTTCTTAATTTATAACCAGATTATTTAAGAAAGATTGTCACGAATTATGCCAGTGCCAAAGCACTGATTATTGGCAAAATCGTAGCCTCGGGCACAAATAGTCCACCAGGATTGGTTTGAACTCAATGATAAAAAACACTTACGAAATATGGGTAGCCTAAGTCGTTGCACTACGATACAATCTTTGAGTAATTGTTACCTGAGTGAATTCCGATTCTGCATTGCAAAGGTTTAGTTGGATTGTGGGGAATCCTAAAACATTCGACTGAGTCTCTTATAGACAGTGCCATCTGTGCTATTTCCTTGGCGTGTTTAATGCCATTCAGTACGGGAAGCCCAGACACTACCATATACGCATCGCCTATGGTCTCAACCTGAAACATAAATAAATAAATCAGCTATGCGAAAATCAATGCAAATATTGGTATGATTGCCACTGAAACATCATTCCACCAGTGTATAAATGACGCGGATGTTAGAAACTATAGATTAAAGTACTTCCTTCAACAACAAGAAAACAACATGCATTATGATCAACTATAGAAGGTCCGAAATGACAATCTGCACAATTAATCAAGCGATAAAATGAATACATAAATTTAATAAACACAATTAACGTGAACAAATATGAATCTGACAATCATGAACCGACAACCAATGAAACTTTTTTGAGCGCTCAATTCTAAAATGACCTGAGACAGTGGTATAACAGCACAACATACAACATACAAACAAACTGTACAAAATTGTATACAGCACAAAACAGCTTACAAAAACACAAAAGACAAAATGCAAAATAACTGAAAGCTACTTCAAACGGAGACCAAATGGCGTAGACATATGCAACTGCAGGTCATCGTACGGCTTTCAACAATGAGCAAAGCCAATATAAACAAACCAAATTGCAACTTAATAATAAATCGTGTTCTCTTAGACTGATGTATCAAAAGTACACATTCAACAAATTCAATGTAAAGATATCATAAATGGTTGTATTCGCTTAATTATGCAAGATTTATCTGATATTACGTTTCGTTAACCGATTCCGTTAGCCAAAAGATCACTATCTTGAAGTAACTTTTAAATTTTAGATTTCAAAATGCAACAGTGTTTGTCAAATGAATTAGTGAAGGGAAAATTGACCATATCAGTGTAATGCTGTTCGCAGTGTCAGAGGCACTAAGTGTGTTCAACATGTTCAAGGTATTGTGTTCTTGTTAAATTCTGTGGATTCATTATTATTCGTTGCATACCAATTTTTGTGGTTTTCGTGGGAACAGGTGAACCACGAATTTAAATGTTCAGCGAATTACAAATTTTATATTAGGTTGTATGCTGACTTTGAAATCACATATCCACGAAAAGGCTAGTTTTCCGCAATCCACGAAAATTGATAGCCACGAAAATAAATTAATCCACAGTATCACATATAAGTTATCCAAGGTACATAAAACTGCGATCATATATTATTTTTAGTATTTTAGTCTACATCTTTTGTATCAACAGATATAAAAAGTATTCGTTGTATTGAAAATAGTACGAATAAACAAAGAATATTGTAAATGTGTCTCATTCATCTTCAAAAATTTTATTTCGAGATGAACAGAAATCGAGACTGGTCCCTTGTTTTCGTTGCATAGATCAATCAATTCAATGTTTTTATTATAAAAAAAGGCAGACAATACCAATGGATATTGTGCGGTTGTGCAGTTGTATTTTTTTTTTCGTCTTGCTACCAAACCATCTGCTTAATAACCATGTTCGACGTACACAACCGAAAGAAATTGCTCAAAAAAAGTAAACGTATTACAAAACATGAGCCTATAGCCAACCATCAATCGCGTTATAACCTGTTGAGTTTACATCATGTGTGCTCTAAAAAGAAATACTTCATGATGACCATAGCGTATTGACTTAAGTCAGAGAGCAAGCAATTAACGGACAGACGAAAAGTTGACAATGATAAAAAACTAAAATTGACGAAAGGACCAACAACAGTTTACCAAACACTACATATATAAGTACTGTCTTTTAGTAAGTCGGGAATATTAGTCTATAACAGATGCCTATAAAATACTTTGAAGCTATAAATCTATAAAGCTATCAAAACAATTAAACATCTGTTATAAACAAATGAGGAATACGAATGAGGAATACATTAAGATATGTTTTACAACAAATACTGAAGATGAACAGACACATTGAAATTTTGTGGAGTGAAACTATGTTTGGGATTTCATAACCCTTCTCTTTTCATTGTCGATCAATTGATTAACAAAACAAATATAAAAGACCATACGTTTGTCTTTTGTCTTGAAGAACATGGTTTATCTATAAGATGTTAATAGCTTTGGACTACTGGCTTTCAGTAACTGGGAGTTCTATTAAACCGGTACTTTGTGTCTTTTGTTTTCAGGTTAGTTTTTTGTTCTTCGCGGCGATCTGATGAGTAAAGCCATATCCAACGTATTTTAAAGTGTGTTCATATGTTGAGCTGAAACACAATTGTCAAAGTAAGGAAAGGGTTGAGCGCCCAAAATAAGTTTATCTTCGTCATATGATGTATGTGCTTGTCTCGATTCAGTAGCCTGTAAATTAAGCGGTTGTCGTTGGTTGTTGTCTGTTATATCTGTTTTTCGGTTATTGTTTTGTCATCAATCAGGCCATTAGTTTTTCGTTTGAATTGCTTCCCATTTTGTCATGTAATGACATTCAAAGCTCACTTTACGATATACAATTTGATTATTATTGGAGGCCATATGGTGACTCTAATTGTTTAAATCCACGTCATTTGGAATCGTACCAAAATTCTTATTCTATATTGAAAAATCCAGTACACGAAATATAAAAAAGTGTATATCTAACCAACTGAGAAATATATATCATATAAAGGAGACAAAAAACATTTATATTTAACAATTAACAAAAGTAAAGGAAAGTTAAAAGAGTTTAAAAAAGCTCGAATGTTCACTGAGACTATATCTGTTTGTATTGTTAAGATATTTACACACACAAAAACAGCATCAACACAAATACCGAAAGAGGGAAGTCCATAAAACCTGAGAAAATCAAACGGTTAGACTATATGAACCAAAAGAACCAAGGAACGAAATGGTAATTTTTGTCGCTGTACTCTAAAAAACCAGAAGATATAATGCATAGTAAATTCCTGTAGGAATACCGATCCCTTTTTGGTATACTTTATCTCCGAAGAAAAAATAAATTAGTACCAAGCAAAATATAATGGCTTATTTATTTTTCCCTTGTCTAGTTTGTCCATTTCATATATTTATAAGTTACTAAAGAGGGAATTGTAACGACTGTAATAGAAACAGAAGTTTCACCAAAGACCATTTTATCAAAAAGCAAAACTGGTATTGAAACAATACATTTCCACCTTTGCCATTATTTAAATCCAGATAAAAAGTGTAAAATGACTAGAAAACGAATCAAAAACTGATATATTGCACAGAGTTATGTAATGTTATCAACGATATTGAGGGTCCATAGAGTGAATACATAATCTCCTGAATACAATAAGCACAGGTTTTCTTTTAAATTTGTCCTGTTTATAAACCATAATTACAATTATTACATCATAAGGTTAAAACACACTATCAGGACATTCGTATTTAAGGAATTTACTGAAATTTAATCACTACAACATCTGTGCATTCCAGAGAAACAAGGTCACAAGATCTTTATCTCAACATTGTTAATATTAAAGGAAGAAGGAAATAAGAAAAGTGTGAAAAGCTTTCCTGACACTTAATATCATTAACCCTGGTAATTATTATACAACTGATACAATACGTCTGTTATTGTGTTGAAGTTCCTTTATCGTCATAATAGTATGTAAAACATGCCATTGGTACTTAGGCAACCGTTTAACACGAACGACATTTCATCCTTTGATAAAGATAGGAAGATTAGTGATCTGTGGTTGGCGTGATATACAACATCAGTTCAAGGCTGTGTATTACTCTAACAAATTGAAATGGACAGATATGTAGCCATATCAATTAAAGTCTTAAATACGAATAAAATTTAAGCTTATAAAGTTGATCTACTAAATATATGTGTTATAAATATTGATTTGATATGAAGCAGTTAACAAAATTGGCTATCAGGCCCTTTTTTGTGTGTGTCCTCATTCTATTATTTCCATGAAAAAGCTTCATATTTGGAATGCAACTGATATTTTACAATTCATTAAATACTTTTAATCTTCTATCACTTTTTACAATGAGTGATAAGGCTAAACATAGGTTTAAGGTATTGACCTTATTATTTTTATGTGATTATATTTTATTCTATAAATATGTCTTAACACAACAAAACTGTTTGTTTACCATACCTTATAAACGTCATGTCTGTCTATAATTTCATCAAAGCAGTTGTAAAGATCATTCAGTAGATCTACAATCTTAAATTAAAAGAAAAAGAATATATTAAATTGTATGATATCGTTGTAAAAGCTGAAATAAAAAAAGATTAAAGGGATAGATACCATTGTAGCAACACTGAGGAAACGTATCATTTATACGAACAGGAAACTAATGATATAGACGATACGACCTCCAGTAATGGTTTGGACGAATATCGTAAATCCAGAAAAATTAGCATATCCTGTTTCGATTTCGACACCTGTCGCGCTGCACAATGATCAAAGACAGTTACTTGTCAAACTTCGACGTCGTTTAAACTGAGATACGTGAACCGCTGTGAGAAATATGTATACATTTTCTATCACTTTCTAATTAGGAAAAAGAAGATGTCGACTGCAAATTTTTTGCACTGTTGGTGTTACTTATAAGTATGTTTAAAATAAGATAGATAAAAACAAATCATCAAATATGCCAGGCTTGTAACTTGGAACACCAGACGCGTGTTTCATATACACAAGACACATTAGCTGCGCTTGATTCTGAAAATTTGAAAAGTCAAAACAAATACGAATTTGAAGAGCTTTGAACACCAAAAATTACGAAAAAGTTGTTCCATATATGGCCTTAGATAGAAATACCTTAGTGTTTCGAATATTTCATCATTTTATAAAAAGTAAGTTAAAACGAATATATTAATATTGTTTTAGAAAGGTGAAAGTGTTAAATCAAGAATTCTTTTTAGATCAAGGAATCTATTCCATATAAAAATAAAAAGATGTAATATGATTGCCAATGAGACAACACTCCATCAGAGACTAAATATAATAGAAGTTAACAACTATAGGTCCCCATACGTCTTTCAACAATGAGCAAAACCAATACCATATAGTAAGCTATAAAAGCCCTGAAATGACGAATGAAAAAACAATTAAAACGAGAAAACTAGCGGCCTGATTATGTACAAAACAATGAACGAAAAACAAATATGCATATGTTTGATTCCTTGTTCCGGTTTGTTCACACGTTTGTCCCTTTACATTATATTATATCTTTTGGATTTGAATTTCGAAATATTTTCCCCTCGAATATCACTGTTGGGATAATGTTGGTCTCTCTGTCATAGTAAGCGTTGTCGTTTCATATTATGTCATGCCGCTTTCACCGACGATTACATTTTCTTAATTATTCCCTGGAATCGACAACGTACACAGCTGTTTGGTCGAGAATATACATACGAAATTGAAAGTTTATTATATTTCAAATCATAATAAAGATAACCTAATATTTGAGTTTGAACTATATATTTATCTGATAACATATTGTATTCACGCCCAAGCAACGAATATACTATATGTTAATGAATAAATTAATAAATACTTGAATAAATAGTTAATTAAAAATAAGATTTATTTGTTACATTTAACATTCTTGTTGAAGGTATTGACAGAGACGTGCTTCAAACGCATTTACTTTCTAAATTGTTATTTTAATTTTCCAGCACGGCTTGAATACAGCTGACTTTCAGTTGTAGAGGGTATAATCTGTACAGTTATCAGCAACTCGAAACTGAAATAATGTATAACATACATTTCTTACCGTTGATCCCTTTTCTAAAGGCAAAATTGACCTTTCATATTTTCGGCTTTGATGTTCACTTTTTTCATTTAACTTTTAAAGCATTTATAGATCGCACACTTTCCTAAATTTTATTTCAATATAAAAATAAGAAGATGTGGTATGATTGCCAATGAGAAAACTCTCCACAAGAGACCAACTGACAAAGAAATTAACAACTATATGTCACCGTACGGCATTCACAATTTAAGCATATTTGGTGAAGATAAATTAGGAAAAACGCTTTGGACGCCTTAAATGTTAAAAGTTGTGTTTTCATTTAAGAATATCGTATCTGATTAACGAGGCTATAAAAGTGTAAGGAATTAACAAACTTTACCTGAAAAGGTGTACTCTGGGATGAAATGTCAGTAAAGCCTACGATATCACTAAAATATATCGTTACACAATCAAAAGCTTCAGGATTAACTGGTCTCCCATCCCTTAATTTTTCAGCAACAGATCTAGAAAAACGATTAAAAAGATATTTTTCTCTACTTTAACAGTTGTATGGCTTGCATAAATGTCCCAGATTGTTTTCGTAACTTTTGTTTTTCTCGTGAGTAGTATGTATGTATACAAGGCTATCGTACTTTTCTTCATCGATTTTACTTTAAATGAGATTTTGAATAAAGTTTCTTTAAAAGCACAAACAGAAAATAAAAATTAACGTTGGTGATGTAAGATGTATTTCCTTACGTTGAACTGACTGTAGAGAAAATCTGCTATACAGAGAAGGCTTTTTTTAAACACTTTACACGATAGATGCAACTACTGAGTTTATGCTGCTAGAGTTCGTGGTGCTGGGTTGCTGAATCTGATCTTTTTGTGCTTTGTGAACTGTTCTTAATCTATTTTATTAAATTTTAGAGGTATATTGCTGTCTTTTCTATGAATAGTTTAAATTCAACGGTACCGTGGAAGAACTTGATATAAAAGTTCCTCGGATTTTCTTTTCTCATCTAAAAATGCCTGTGTCCTTTCAAAAACTAGAGCTTCCAGATTATTTGCATATTGTTCCATTCTTCTAAGTAATGCATCTAATACGTTATGAGATTTTGAAATTCTGAAAGAGAGAGAGGAAAAATATTTAAATTTACAATTTAATTATTCATTTTAACTTTGAAACGTTGAAAAATTTACTCTTTGTATCTTCAGGATACTAGCTTTTTCATGACTGACCACCTTTTAATCACATTACAATGTCTCAAACTATCTTTGATAAGTTAGTACGCCGAGTATCGTCTACATGATAATCACAAAATGCGATCTAATCAAAATAGTTGGAAAGCCAAATCAAACCCAAATTGAATAACATGAAAAATTAACATTTAAAAAATTGTAACTACCATATCGAAAGCAAAACCATTGTAAATAAAATGCCTAAAATAAGTTTTGATATATCAACTCAAAAATAAAGACCAGGCCTAGCAAAAATGGCAATATTCACTGAATACCTTGGACAAACCAACTTCAACATTATTGTTCCTGTTCAACGTCAAGAAATCTTTTCCAATATGTGATTTGCTTGTCTGCAAGATCAATTTCAAGAAATTAACTTTTCAGTTCAATAAAACATTTTCAATACGCTGTTTTATACATCCTAGTTGGTTATTTGTTTTTATATAACATAAACAGCTTAACAAACTAGATTAAAGAACAAAACATTATGTATACCCAGTTAAATCCTTGATTCTTTTTCCAATTATCATGAAATACGGCCTCTTCTGAGGATCTTCATTTAAACAGTCATACATTATTGTTTCCATCCCTCCCATGAAGTCATTATTGCTTGATTTAGCTAACGTAGGTCGGAAAGGTGGATTCTCAGCGTTAATTACTTTCATGATGATTTCTGTATGATATAATAATTACATTACATATATGTTTCATAAGAATCCGTACTTTGCATTGGCTGACAACAATCGTGAGGCATATCAAAACTATATTTTATTTCTCAATAAAATGCAACATTCACGACTGCACGTACTTCCCGTGACAATGTCACAACAATGAATAGGAAAACAAACGAAAAACTAATAAAGCTTGTAATGTTATGGCATGTTACATATGAATGTGTTTATAAGAGTTGAATGCTTTTTTGTAATTTTAAAGGGTTATAAATGCGTTGATCATGCGGACATTTTTATAATGAAACGTTTCTACGCTTAATACAAAATATGCTGCGGTCAACACTTTTACTCCCCAATAAAATTACAAAAAGAAGCAGTCAATTCTTAATCAAAGGTATATGTAAAATTCTTTGCGTAGGATTTATATCTTCTACTGTAGACCTCATTATAGTTCAATGATATGCGATTCCGTACTAAAATCATAGTAATAAGAAAATACAAGAATATCAACTGATGGATTATAATTTTAATGTATATCCATATTTACAGGTAATATTAAACTGTTTAAGGCAATTGGAAAAAGTAAAATAACAAAAAATACCGAACTCCAAGGAAAATTCAAATCGGAGAGTCCCTTATCAAATGCCAAAATCAAACAAATCAAACGAATGGAAAACAACTGTCATATTTCTGAAATCTAGACGCAAATTTACCTTTTGTAGAAAAGGAAAGAAGTAAAGCAGTTAGTTATCCGGGAAACATACAGTTCCTGTTCAGGTAAATTCAAAGGGTAGCTGGACTGTGCAGGCTTTTATTCTTTGTTGTGTATTTTAATTTTTCCGAATAATGGTCTAGATTGCCAAAAGGTGACGCAGTTGTACGCATATAGAAATAAGCCTAACCCCACCATACTCAAATAAAAACCATGTAAATACTTGTAATACACAAAGAGGGATAAGAGGAATTGCAAACAAATACGGCATATTACAAAAGACAACATCAACCACCTACTCCTACAGACATATACAACAAAGATAAAAAAAATTACGAGCGAAATATATCCAGATTGTCATATGTGTTGTTCATTTGTATTGAAGGAGGAGTCTGGTGTTGGTGGTACGTGTGGTCTGTTTTACTCTCTAAAATGTAGGAGGAATCATGTTTTCTAATTTTTGTGTTTTCTATATTAAAGTAGAGAAGTATGACATCACGTGGGACAACTTTCCACCAAAGACCAAAGGAAAAGAAAGTTTATTTTATTATACACTGCTACAAGTCACCAAATTACTCGTTGCTGTATACGTGTACTGATAATGCCGTAGGAGAGAGCAGATTGTTACCCCGAGAAAACATTGTCAGATATATGTTATTTAATTTATTATACTGATTGTTCTGTTATTACTGTCTATTAAATTTCAAATTCAAAGTAGTAAACTATGTCGTCGTGTACATAACAATCATCCGTATTTATTAAAGCGCACACTTGAGCAAGCGTCTCCGTGAAGGGTAATAGAGTATTTGCCATGGGATAGAGTAAATTGTCTCCCTCGTATTAACCAATCAAAATCTGGCATTTTGACATGCAATATAATAATATAAAAAAAACCTTTTAACTAATTTTTAACATTGAATAGAGAATACAGATACAAAAATACTGACTTCTTAAAGTTGCTTCACCTGTTAGCGTCATGTGAAATCAGAAAATGTGATATTTTGTACAAAAAAAAAAATGTTAGTTTCTTCATGACAAATACTTCGTACGTCATTCCACGGTGAAACATCGATACAAATGTGATGCTTCTTTTTTAACTTATTTTCATATTGTTTGATATGAAGTTTTAATGTTTTCTAAGATTACTGTGAAATAAGGATACAGTATTTTTGTAAATGTCTATTTACGAGGGAAAATATGACCTTCATTGTACATGCCATATATCAATATAAAAGTATACTATTAATCATATACTTGTGTACTTATTTGACAACCTTGTGACGTAAAACTATCTAATTCCTCGCTGAAAGGTTCTTTTCTCGACAATATTTCGGACAGTATTATCCCGAAACCGTACACATCACCAGGTTGAGAAACTGTTCTATCTTTGGTGCGCAGGTGTTCTGGTGCAATCCAAAAACTGTCTAGAAATTAATAGAAAATGTTGTTATTTTTTCATTTCGATTTTTAAATAATTGCAATAAACAAACTATACACAAATAAGGAGATATGGTATGATTGCCAATGAGACAACTATCCACCAAAGTTCAAATGAAGTGGATGTTTTACAAAAGTCTGAGTAGCAGCTGCAAGCTTCAAGTTGAAAAAAATGTATACAATTATTCCATACGCGGGTGAAGTTGGAATATTGTTGCTCAGGTGAGGAAAATTTATAATTTCAAAATTGAAATCGTCTCGTTTGTCATAGATTCTGGTAATGAGATGACAGCTGTTGTCAAGTTCGAGGTACATGTTTAGAAATTATAGTAATAGCTTGTTTGATCTCTAGTTCAGGAGGATATATAAATGGGACCCAATCAGAAACGTTTGGATTGTTAATGGAAAGAACATCATCAATATACCTGTATGTGAGATTAAATAATCTAGCTTCTTTGATCTTATTGTATTTTACAAGTGTCCGAAGGAACTCCGACTCATGAAAATTAAAACAGGTCAGGAGAGGTGCACAGTTGGTTCCTATGGAAATGCCGACAACCTGCTGGAAAATTCTATTTCCAAATTCAAAAAATATGTTGTCAATGAGAAACTCTAGTATACTAATTTCGGGTTCATTTTTACCAAAATATGTAGAATTGAATCACAAAATAATAAATTTGTAGCGTATGGTACCATGTTGATAGAGGAAGGCATTATGAACAACAATAACAATTGATACCAGCTATTGTAAGCTAGACCCGTTCTTTAAATGTTATAGAACTTACTGGCTAGGTTAACTTTGTCTTTACATTGCACTTTCAATCCTCTCAGTTCATATCCCGTAACTTTTAACACAAAGCGACTATCAATAACACATGAATCACTGGTTAGATTGCCATGCACAGATATACTACAATTATGAAGATAGGTCATTCCCTGAAATAAAATGTGAAATTATTGAAAATAGCAGAATGTTGAAGTAGTAAACTTCCTCGATATTATATGAAGTCGACCTACTTCAGATAGCTTCAATTTTGAAAGAAACAATTTCCAGCATTCTTGTTTTCGTGATTACTTGAAACAAAGAGGACGAAGAAATCAAATGGATCATAAAAAATCTGATGGCGGAGAAAAACTGACATACCCATGTCAAAAACCAAAAAAGCAGAGGTCATTTAGGTGCTCCGAAAGGGTAAGCAGACCCTGCTCTACATGTGGTTGTCGTCGTAGTGCACACGGCAAGTAAAATTTCGTTAATTTTACAATTTCTGAAAGTAGAACAGGATAGTTGTTACGACAATTGAAACATATCCGTGGTCATCAGTGACACATATATTCCATAATAGTCAATTACATCATGATGGCTTTCGGGCAAAAAGCGACGGAAGGGGCAATCGGAATTTATACGCCTAAGAAAATCAATAATACCATGGGAGAAATACGAAAAAACGACAAAATTCTGAATGGATTACTCCAACTTTGCTAACAGAACCCTCGGTGCAATAGATTCCTTGTAAGCAGCAAATATCTATCAAGGAAACCATTATGGAATGTCGTATTAAAAAGTAAAATCACAAAAATACCGAACTCCAAGGAAAATTCAAAACGGAAAGTCCTTTATCAAATGTCAAAATCAAAAGCTCAAACACATCAAACAAATAGAAAACAACTGTCATATTCCTGACTTGGTACAGACATTTCCTTAGGTGGATTAAACCTGGTCTTATAGCTACTAAACCTCTCACTTGTATGGCAGTCGAATAGAATTCCATTATATTGACAACAATGTGTGAACAAAACAAAAATAAATCAACTGGAAGATATATTTTCTAAATACAGACGCTGCCGGAACGTTGTTACAAAGAAACGGAAAGTTCACAACTGATAAGCTGAAGTGTTCTGTTTTCCAGTCGTTCTATTGGATGATGTTGTCGAACGTTTGGTTTTGTCATTTTTTTGTGGATTTCCACTTTTTGAATTTACCTTGGAGTTCGGTGTTTTTATTAATATATATTTTGTCGTGAAGTTTTAAAAATTTTATATATCGTTAAATATTTGAAAACTGAGATTACTCTCACGTCCGAAGTCCTCTTCTAGGACTGGCTGGAACCGTGTGACGTCATCGCGCAGCCCATTTAAAATACAAGTAAATTGTAGGCGGCAACTTTCTATCTCGAAATCGTAATAGAACCATTTTATTTTAAATAAATCATACAGCATTCGATTTTTAATGCTCAAACTAATGTCATGTAGCTTAAACGAAAACGTTATTTCTACAAATTCATAATTTTCAGTGAGTGACATACTTTAACTTTGAACAAGTTGTCACGTGATTGTGTTGTTTCATTCCCTCAAATATGATTTTGTGAGTTTGTATATTAATACGATCCCATTGTCCAGGATATATTAACAAGATTTACCTCTTCATTCAATCTATCGAAAACAAACATACCGCATGTCAACCTTCTTGCATACATTATCTTTGTGAGGAAATAACGCGAGATCGCAATATCTTGTCAAAGTGAACATGAACAGGGTCTTTTACGATTTGCAGAAAGAAACTTGCTGCCCAAAGTTTGAGTTGGCAATTTCCATGTTTTCTACATGGACTTCGCTCTGGTGTCCCACCACCCAAGCCAGTCCTAAAAAAGCAGCCAGACATACATGCAATCAAGGACTAAAAGAGAGGCGAAAGATACCAAAGGAACATTCACACTCATAAATAAAAAATAAACTGACAACACCATGGCTAAAAAAGAAAAAAAAAAACAGACAAACAATAGTACACAAAACACAACATAGAAAACTAAAGACTGAGCAACACGAACCCCACCAAAACCTGGGAGTGATCTCAAATGCTCCGGAAGGGTAAACAGATCCTGCTTCACATGTGGCATCTATCGTGTTGCTCATGTTAGTACAAACCCGGTAATGAGTCTGATTCGGTAGGTCACATTCGTGGAAAGGGGGTGGGGTTGTGGTTACGACAATTGAAACATATCCACTATCATCTGTGAAATTGATGTTCCATAACGGCCAAACAGCTCGTGATGGCGTCCGTAAAATTTTAAAAGGGGTGACTTCAACTTCACCACTTACTTGGAACTCTTGGTTAAATAGCTTCCTTGTGAGCAGCAATCCCCTATCAAGGAATTCATGATAGGAAATACAAGACCTGAAATATCGTAATAATTTGGAGATACATGCTCCGTATGTAGGCGCTACTGGAATGTTGCTACATAGAAATTGAAAGTTCACAATTGGGAAGTTGCAATCATCCCTTTTGTCGTAAAGTTATGTTTGCAATCGGCACTCATTGTCCGTTTTTATCTAGGTTCACCTCTTCTAAAGAAATCCTGAAAAAATATAACCCTAGCTGGGCACATTTTGTTACTGTTTTTAAAAATACTTAACCCAATGTTATTCAACCACACAAATACAAAGCAAAACAGGTATCCCGCGGTTATTCAAGAACCTTAACCATTCATTTAATACTTTGGTAATATTTTAGACTATTTTGTCAGTATATATAGACCAATTTGTTTTAAATGATCATTAAATTTCAGTTTGACACGCGAGTTCTTTTTCAATTCTTGCATTTCATATATCTTGTTATTTCTTGTACATATTCCTTCTTTAAACTAGTTCGGATTTTGATTGTTAGTTGCCTTGGCACTCGTGACTTACATTTGTTTTTATATTATTACTTTAAAAAACAGAATTACTTTGCTTCAACGGTCAAGAGAGAAATCATGCCGTAGCATTCCTGAACGCAAACGCGAGAAACTGAACTTTGTTTTTGACAAAACTTTCAAAATTGATTTTGTTCTGTCAATCGTCATAATCTAAAATGGATAAATGAGTTAGTTTTCCGTAATTTAAAAACAAGGAGATGTAATATGATTGCCAATGAGACAACTATCCATCAAAGTTCAAATGAAGTGGAAGTAAGCAATTATTGGCAGCCGTATGCCTTCAACAATTTGAAAAATCCATACCGTATAGTCGGCTTTAAAAGGCCCCGACATGAAAAATATGAAATAATTCGATTGAGAAAACTATCTGCCTATTTCGAAACAAAACAATTTACGAAAAACAAATATGACATACATGAACCAACGACAACAACTGAACTACAGGTTCCTGACAATGGGACAGGCACATAAAGAATGTGGCGGGGTCAAACATGTTTCTGAGCGCTAAACCCTCCCCAACCTGGGACAGTAGTGTTACAACACAACATAAGAACAAACTATAAAAATTAGTTGAAAAGGGCTTAAATCATCAGATCGATACAAAGCAGAAAAACATCTAACAAAAACACAGACCGGGCGTGGTCTTCTTCAGAAAATGATAACTTTTGTTTCTTTTCGAAGCAAACTCACATAGCACCTAGTCTACAATTTACCAAAAAAAAAATCATTATACGCTTGATAATTCTTCAGTTCGTTAGTTACCTCTATCAAATCGACAATCAATGCCATCTTTAAATCCTTATCCAGATCAATGGAATCATTCAGTAGCAAAGTCTGTAAGAAATACTTATAATTATTTACGCAACTTCCTTTCGTTTAACAAGTATAATGTGTTTTAAAAAACGGCCAATGTATGGTGATATTGCCTTCAGATAAGACGAACCATACCTAACATGAACTGCTTAACCCTCCGAAGCATTGGTATTTGTTCCTTGTTTTGTTTTTAAAGGGTTCGTATTGCTCTTGTTTCAGTTTTCAGTTTTGCATTAGATTTCTTTTTTGAATGACAGTGTCCGTTTCCACTCTTACAAGACTATTCCCCAAACTCAATTGAAAGATCGTTTACATGGTTTCATTAAAAAGAGTTTTTTCTACAAAAATTGAAATGATGATCGTAGAAACAAATACCTTATTTTATGTAATGAAAAAAATCTTACTTTGTAATGAACCACACTAATTCCAATGAAAATACACCGAGAGGATTTCATCATTGATTTTTTCTATCGACAACTTATTTATTGAGTTTGGTAGATTGACATTTTAACAAACAGTCCAATAGGTACTTATTGTGTACAACTACTGATCGATTCATTTTTGTACTCAAATGACACAGAATTTTTCTTTTCGTTTTCAGCCATTGAATTTTCTGTTTTAATCAACTATGGTGTCTGCTTTCCGCCTTAGTATCTTCTCTGTCTTTTCACAAGTTAAAGAGAGATTACTCAAACTTTATTATCGGGGAAACCTCAGTCCAATAGCTTCTTTTTACCAGAAAAACCTATATCACGTAAAACAATTTTAGGCACTACAGAACCTTTAACATTGTATCTACTGGAGCCATATATACCATATACACGTGATGCCTAAAGGTCTTTTAATGGTTGCTCCACAAATCCAGTACTTTATTTGATTCCTGAAGCATGTGTCGTGCGCATAGTAATTAAGATCTCAGTGGGTCAAAACTGCTGTTGGCTTACTGTGACTGTTGTATTATATTACTGTTATATAACTTTACAAAATATAGTTGAAACTCTGTCTTCTAGAAATGTCCCTTTAAATGACACTTTTTTTTCCAAAAGACCCATTATGTTACCATTGAAAATTGATATTTATATTTGCATTCACATTAAAACTGTTTTGATCCCTTGTTTCTAGTGATAATTAGTAAAGAAACACATGTCATGCAAACTAAATTCGATACGCAATATTTAAGTTAAAGGATTTTTATTTACTAATAATGCTCGAGTTTTCGTTCTATGCATACCACCACTCGTAGTGCAATGTATCTGTGAACAGGTAATAGGTGTCTCATAGATCCAAATAGTGCGTGCACATTACAACTCAACATTCTAAGGGACAGATCAAATATCAAGTCATTCTGTTTAATTGTACATTTTTGTATTTGCAACATGTGCGACAAAAATGTTTACGTTCAATCAAATGGAAAAATCAAAGTAACGGCAAATATGAAGTGTGTATCTAACAAAATCCGAATAGTGATTACACGTTAGAACTTATTTATGTCGACTGGGATGACCAAATATGAAGTGTGTATCTGACAAAATCCGAATAGTGATCACACGTTAGAACTTATTTATGTCGACTGGGATGACCAAATATGAAGTTACTCTGTGCGGTAGTGTATTACAAAATTGTGCAAATATTTGTTTGACGAACGAACAGACGGACGGACGAACCGACAGAAAAGGTGATTGCAATATAGCTCCCACTTCTAATTAAAATACATTTTGAATTGGACTTAGTGGAGAGAGAACCATTTTCTTCCAGAGCGATGACAATCAAAGGTGCGTGCTATTGAATCTTTTTATAATGGTGCTTTACGGAAAGTGTTAGCTATATCGTCTACTTTTGGTCATTGTGTAGGCTATCTGGTGGTTTGTAATTGCCACATTGTATATCTCATCAATATTGTCCGCATGCACATGCATTGCCGAAAGAACTAAAATAATAACTTTATCAAAGTGATAAAAATATAATAAATATAGTGTACCTGTAAATCTCCCCTAGAACAGTATTCTGTTATTATCATGATATGCGGGTGTTTGGTGTGCAATCCGATGAATTTTGTTAGATTACTGCAGTTGAAATCCCTCATCTAAATATATATGTCCATTGTTTAAGATTTTAGTTATATGTCGATTAATTTATTCAATACTAAGCGTATTCTAAAATGAAAAAAAGAGTACAAAACCAAGCACTGGTTAGTTTGTAGACTAAAAAAGATCTAAACCAAAATGAACATAGCTGATAAATCAATCCAGATATGATATGATACAAAGTAGAAATTTCCAAAATGCACTGTTTGAGTGCATTTTCGGTATTTCACAGATATGTTCAAAAACAGTGTTGTTGAAAAACAGTGTTTTTACAAAGGCAAACAATCAAAACCTACATATAAACAATTATCGACAAAAAAAGAGACAGAAGATACCAAGTGTACATGCAAAACTCATGTGTGAAGATACCAAGTGTACATTCAAAACTCATGTGTGAAGATACCAAGGGTACATTCAAAACTCATGTGTGAAAGAAAAACTAACAGCGTCGTGGCAAAATAAAAAACGACGAAAAGGGTATGCAGTTCCTGCTCCACCTGTGGCACCCGCATTTAAAAATCCAAGCAGACGTTTGACAGATTATTGTATTATTATAAGGAGAGGTTAAACATGTAAACTAAAAACGTCTCTATATCGATATCTTTGCTTTAAGGTCACACTGCGCTGAGCCGATACCCTTGATATCATCCTTATAGACTGACCTAGTAAATGGAAAGATGTTATAGACCCGATACCCTTGATAACATCCTTATAAACAAACCTAGTCAATAGAAAGATGTTATATAAAGATTTTATAATTATTAAAACATAATTATATTAAAATTGTTACCTCAATCATTTCTAGAATCATTTTCCTGTCAATATTCAAGCGTTTTACTTCCAGTGTTTTAAAATGAACCTTGTTTCCCTGCAAGAGAAATAAAAAGGGTTGTAAATGTGAGGCATTTCGTTAAATGTTTCATGATTATACGCTATCAATGTTACAATGTTAATTGATGTCCATTTTTATATCTAAAAGATATAACATAGACGTTTAGAAAAAAAACAAATTGAGCAAATCAAATCCAATGAAAATCTTAAAATCTTCGGAAGGTTTAGCAGTCCCTGAAATGGCTTTGGATGATGTTGTTATCACCATGTAGAACGCCACATGTGGGGTGTCGGCTATGTTTGACACGGGGTGGCGGTTTTGAGCGGAGAAAAACGATCAAGGTAAGTTCAAGTATCAAAATTTCTTTTTTGAGAATTGTTAGTACCTAATAATGTATTGCACGGAAGGAACCAAACCATAATCTATTTCCAGCAAGCAGAAGCAGACGTTTTCAGTGCTCTGTTTTCTCAAACACCTCTCCCTAGTTTTCCGTATTGCATATTTTGAGGCTTCATATGCAAGTTTCAGCATAAAAAAACTACTTTTGACGATTGTTTCCTGTATGATTTATATAGAAATGAAGTCCTATCATAGAATTTAACCAAATGCCAGCTTCTTAGTTAAAATTTATTGTGCTTTCAAAACTAATTTTCATCAAAATATGATGTGTCGCTCGGGGAGTCAGATTTTGCGTCTCAAGGGGCAGAGGCATTTATCAAAAAAATGATAGATTTGCAAATAATTCGGCCTTTATCTGATACTTTGTAGTTCAAATACACCTACTCTGTTATGTTGACAAATTGTAAACTTAAGGTATTTCATTTGGCCTATATTTTAGTCTTTTAAGTAATGTGCATTAAATAGAGAAAAAGCCTCAAAGTAAACAAATAATGGAATATGAAGAGAGGTGATATGTTATTTGTGTTTGTTTTATACGTTTAAAGCACATAACTGTTGAATAACACGCGTATGAATGCAAAAGGGTGTACCCGATTCATTATATTAAGATTATTATATTTTTTGCATTCATACATTTGTTATTCAACATCTCTATGCTTTAAACGTATAAATCAAAAACCTCCGCTTCAAAACCGCCACCTCGTGTCAAACATAGCCGACATCCCACATGCGGCATTCTACACGGTGTTGTTATGTTGAATTTATATACACATTCATATATTCTTGTCTTAGATAGATTCAATATGGTTCGATGAAGCCCCAATATGTCCATTTTGAAGCACAAATTTCAAATTAGGAATTGTTGACCCCTTTCAAAATTAATCAAACCTAACACAAGGTTTAAATAGGAAATTTGTATTTATGTTGAAATTATTTGTTATAAGCGAATATCTTCATCAAACCAAAGACAGCAAAAAATTTGACTTTTTTCCACGAATTAAGGATGTAGTCAGGTCAGTTTTAGAAATTTTTGTCAGATTTCGGACTCGTTGTTTTTTTCCTACAATACAGAGTAAAATATTTTGAACCATATCACCCACCTTTCTTTAAATAGAATACTTCAATAGGTCATAAAAAGATCATTACGAAATTTTGAGCAGATTCTAGATTTCTTTTCTTACGATTTGAGACCCAAATAATGCCAATGCTTAATATAAGGTAAAAGTCCGAGTCATACTTTTCCCGCCATTTTTTTAATCAAATATCTCCAAAAGGAGTTTCATAACTTATCAATATTATTAGCTTATTTTGTTCCTTAACTAATGCTCTTCTGACTTATACTATCAATTTTAAATTCTAGATTTTTTTATTTCACCTGACTACATCCTAAGTAAAAACTTGTCAATTTCTATCAGTATTTGGGACATATAGCGCATTTCTCGACAAAACCAATCTTTAAATTTGTGTGTGTAATCTCAAATTACTTATTTGTCTTGAATATATAGTTTGTCGATCCATGCGCTATATGTTTTCTTGGCCTAATTGGGGTTGAGATCCAGACGATTGCCATTTTTCAGCAAAATCACGATTTTGACCACATTTGGGTGTAAATGTCAACGCTTAAAAAGAAAAGCTATAGTTCTCGTGCTATTTACATCCCATGTCGTCAATTTTAAATACTTGTATTTAAAAACAAAATTCGGTCGTAAAAACCTACTGCTTAATAATGCTTTGCTACAGACGTGGGAATGAGTCAGCAGATGTAAATACATATGTTCTATCTATTCTTGTGTGTGACCATATGAACTAAAGAATAAAAAAAAACTATGCTATAAAAGTGAAGTTATCATTTTAATAGTGTATCGTTGAAACTTGTTGCAACTTAGCATGTAACAATATTGATTTGAAAAAATGAATTTGAGACCACCTGAAATGATTTATTTTTTTTGTTAATTAATATATCATAGATTTATGTAACACCCCATAAATCATCCGTATACTTCTACATGCAAACAAATGTAAATGTCAATGCAAATCTGCTTTTTTATTGAATTGACGACGAATAATTTGGTCATTCTGATGCTAATATACTTAATATTACCTTATAAATGGCTGTATTTGCTGAAAATCCATCATCATTTGATGAATGCTTGTCTACCGACTTTAAAGATAAATACAAACAATATTAGTAATTGTGCTACAAAATCTAAGAAGAACTATTCACAAATAATCTTCAAAGAAACGTAATACATTTGCCTCGATTAAAAACATAGATCAAATTAAGCTAGTAAATATGTTCTCAAAATAATATTTCATTATTTTTGTATTCAATATGTTGATACAATTTAAAATGCGGAATGCGTATACAAAATCTTATTAAAATCTTCTACATACTCAATTAAGTGTAATCTGACATCAAATATAATAATTTTGAATGTTTTTGTTTATTTCATTTATATTTTATTTTATATCAATATATTTGTATGTCTATCTATTTTATTTAGCAAATTATATCCATGTTGAGGATGAAATAAGCATAGCTTCAAATGAGGAAGTCAACAAAAGCCAATTTGTCAAATAATATGGAGGTATTTATATGGTTTAGAAGTCTGAACAAGTATTTTACTTTACTTTTTCCTAATTTAATTGGAATTCTTTATTTGGACATGATTATTTTTCACATAACTCTCCCTCTGGATTAACGCAATTGAGGACAATAACATGTGTTATACAAGTTTGTGTATTGATACAAAGTTGTTAAGATATATAAATAATTTTCTAATATAAATGCCTCGTATTTTTTGTCCGTAGTAGTATGTCTTTGAAGAAGACGAGCGTTTGTAGTGAGTGTGGTCTGCTGTACTGTCAAATTTTTAATATTATTTTTTTAATCTTTCAGATAATATTCAAATACAAGAAAAGATGATTATAGTCATGAATAAAATGTATTGTATTTTGGATGTTCTAATACAAACCCCTGACATTAAACTATGAAAACTGTGAGACACAAACTTGCGAAATAGTAGATTTTCTTTATCTATTTTCCACCAGTTACTTCGGATATCATTCTCATGGAGATGTTTTCTGTGAAGAAAATATTGTGGTTATTACAACGAAACTATATATGTCAACGTCTATAAGACAGCAAGCTCTTTTAGTAAAATACTAAAACAAATATGATGGTATGATTGTCAAGGAGACCACCTTGTTCATAACAGAAACAAATATTAAGGATGCGAACACATACGGGTCATTGATAATTAGTAAAACCAATACCGTAACGTAAGCCATAAGTAGCACTAAGACGCTTAGTTTGAACCAATTTTTAGGGGGAAAATTAAAGGCATGTTTTATACTCGATTAATCTACTTCTCTGACGTCGGTCTATTGTTCTAACTGTAGATTATTTTTTAAGAATCCACCCACCACTTTGTTAACTTAAGATAGCTTATAATATATTTTTTTAACTTTTTAACATACGATCTTTTATTCTTTCAAAAACGAGTTTCCTATGAAGAGTTCGAAATCGCGCGTATTTTCATCGTAAATCATTACAGTATTCAGCCTATGATGATAACACTTTACCACGAGTGCTGACATAAATTAAAATACACTGTTAAAGCGCTTAATTGTCAATACATGTATATGTCAATAATTTCTGTCTCATTGATAATTAGGTTTTGTATTTTATGAAATATATAGCATGTCTGGGTTTGTTCACGTTCTTTTCAAATTGTTTTGATATGTTTTATTTTGGCTGTTATTTTGTTGAAGAAGATTATGTTCGACATTTGAACAATTATATAGCAATATCAAAATATAGATTGACAACGATACATGAGAAAAAAATGAATAAAATATTTCTTTAAAATCATAAAACATCGCTTATTCTGGATGTCAGGTTTGAACATTGGTCGATTTTTAACATCGTTATAATGAACTGAACCTTTATATGATTGTGGCTTCTACACAACAGTTGTAGCCACTATTATCAAGGAATTGTATATATCAGTACAATTCCTTGATAACATAAACATCCATGTGCCCATTTCACTTGTCATTTTTAACGTACAAGAACTTTTTATTTTCTTTTTCATCATATCAAATGCTTACTTATGGTTTTAGTTTTAGAATAGTATCGTGCTATCGATCAACTTATCTTTGTTTGATTATAAATGGTACAAATAAACATCACGTCAACATTGAATGGACTCTAATTTAAATAAAGTAGTAAAATACACAAACAAAATCCTCGACATTATATGAAAATGAAATATATAATACCTCTGAGATTAAAACAATACTTTGCTCGAGATAAAAATTACGATGAATAAATTTCATTCCGGTTACAAGGTTCGAACTCCGTACTGTTAATATCATCGTTATGGCGTTTGTTGCCAATGTCTAAGCGATTACGGCTATGAACAGCTTGATTGGAATTTTATAAAATCAACATGATTATACACCTGAAGCAGGAGGAATTCTGCTGGGGATTCGGGGATGCGGACCACAGCTTAAACTAACTTATTGACTGATTGACGATGCATGCCAAATGTAATTACGCTAAAATAATCTTAACTTAAAGGGGCATTAGCTATGGGATATAAAAAAAATTAATTAAAACATGATTTTATTTGTTAAATCATAAATGAAAGGGAAATAGTGAAATAATAATTCGCTTTTTGCAGCCAATTTAGTTCAATTTTGTCAAAAAAGCTAAAAAAAAACATCGTTGATGAATTATTCACTTGCAAGTGAATAATTCGACCTGATTGAATCCGTATTCATGTGACTTTCAATTTAACCCTTAGACTGGCCATGGATTACGCATGTTTCAGCTATTAAAAAAAAATGCCAACATTGAAAGTGAAACAAGGATGAACCATTTGGTTGACTGATTCACTCAACAAAAAAAAATCATTCTTATACAGGTAAAAACGATGATAAACTTACTTTTAAACCTACAATATGAAATCAAACAGCCCCATAAAAAATCCAATTGCACCTGGTCGCTATCTAGTAATATTGATATTTATATTTATATCGGGTTATTCGACCGTCGGTAGTTTTCGGAGGCAATCTCGATGGTTAATTTGATGACGTTTAGAAAAAATACACACGATATGTTCACACATATCATCGAGTCTATTCATTGTTAATTGTTTAATTTAGACTTTTTGTAATTTGGATATAAATTTTAGTAAGTTATAAATGAAATATGAGATTTTGAGTCAGATCGGTGAACATGGATTTGACAACTAATGCCCCTTTAATGAAACGGAAACAGTTTAACAAACTTCATATTCTATTTTTTAAAAGAAACTTCAGCACATAATTTCCATTTATATCGAAAAGCCATATGAAATGGAGCCATATGAATTGGTAAGTGTATGGCAATTGCGCTAACCTTATAGATCTGGAGTAGAAGGGCTATTCTCCAGGTGAATTGGTAGCCAGCCCTCAGACAACTTCTTACATATTGCTCATGATGGAGGTTTTTTAAAGACCTTGACAAAACACACAAAATGTTCACACATATTATCGAGTCCATGCATTATTAATTGTTTATTTTTGACTTTTTGTAGTAATTTGTTATAATTTGTCTGTTTTACATATTGCGAAATTATATATATATATAATTTCCACCGAGGAGGAAAAAAATCCTTAAAACTGTAGGAGTCCTGTACTGAAGCCTGAGTTACAGGAAACAAGTGATGATAGGGACTCATTCTATGTTTTTTTCATTAATGCCCTCTGGGGAAACTGTCCTTAACTTTCTTATCCAAAAACATTCCCGAGCAAGTCTGTCGGCCCTTGATATATAAATATGCAAATACAATACTGCTACAAATATAAAGATTTATTTGTGAGAGCTGATGTCTCCTCTAATAAAAGCTCTTCAACTGCAGGATGGTGCAAGTCGTGTGGTAACAGACGATGTCTGACTTGCCAACAAATACTGAATACTCAAACATTTACTTGCCACTCCACTGGGTTCGTATACACTATATATTGCAATGTAACTTGCAAAACAAAAATGTTGTATACCTTCTTCGGTGTCGATGTGGCATGCAGTATGTTGGCGAGACAGAACAGCCATTCAACAAACGCATGAATGGTCATCGAAGTGACTACACCTGCAAGCCCAGTTTCCCCAGAGGGCATTAATGAAAAAATCATAGAATGAGTCCCTACCATCACTTGTTTCCTGTAACTCAGGATTCAGTACAGGACTCTTTCAGTCTTAAAGAATTTTTTCCTCCTCCAAAACATCAATATTGAAAAAAATTTACCAGCGTATTGATTCGTGATAATTTGTATAACGATCAAGATTATTATTTCAGTTTGACTACCACATGTCAAGATAAGAATCATTTGATATCTTAAAGATGAAGGATATTAGTTATCAGAAATATTTAACATTTGTTAATGATTTTACTTTTTTTTTTGGTGATGTTGTACCCTTTTAGATTTGCTTATTATATATTTTATTTGGAGTGTACTGTATCATAATTATATGATTCATCGCTCCGTAAGATTTATCGTTGGCTATTATTCAGATATAAATATATATATTATCGCCAATGGCAGTCAGAAGGGTTTAAGAACATTTGTTGTTCGACCTGTTAGTCAAATGCGTTTTGTTAAAATATACTTTTTCATTTTTTTGGTCTTTTGGAAAATGTTGTTTGTGCTGTATTTAGACCCCTCGAACAAGAAATTTGTTTTGCATGCTCACGTCTAAAAATTGCGGTTTTTATCCAACGCAACCATAGGTTTGAACGTTGTTTTCTATTTAGACTTGTAAATTTCAAAAGTTCTAAATTTTGGTCATTAAATTTTTTAAACTTTTCAAAACAAGATAAATAAATTCTGTATATTAATATATGTACGTATAAATAAATTATAAATACTAAAATCTATTCAACTTAAATAATTTGTAATGATTAAACATTAAATGAAATATTTATTAACCAATATGAAATTTGGAGTTAAAAAGTGGAGTTAACACCCCAATTAAGTTATATTTAACTTATGTTAACGTGTCGATAGATGTGAACCGTATGGATATAATTATTTCCAACTATTATAGAATAAAAAAGACAAAATATGAAATTATCTTTATGAAATTCCGTTGATTTATTGTCAAAACGTAAAA